TTCGTTGCAAACCATCTGAGATATCGTCGACACACCGTTGCAAGTATTGTGCATTTCGTATGGGCGACAAACTAGCACATTTTATAAATAGCTAAATAATGAAAAATTAAAGCAAAAAGAGAAATTATTAATAATAATTTGCAATCGAAAAGTAAAAAAAAAAGGAATTGTGAAAAAAATATTAAGCGGAAGAGAGGAGAAAAATTGTGGCACAAAGCGTGTGAGGCAAAAGATCAATTAGCACATAATTATATACAAATGTATGCCAGTGTGTATGGTTGATTCCGTGCGGTGAGCGAAAGTAGGCAGCTGGTGGAAATAGATTAGAATGAAAACGAATAAATTGCTGACTGACTGACTGACTGACTAACTCACTGACTCAATGATTTTGACCCAATTGATATACCACGCAGCGCAAAAAGGAACAAGAAAAAGATAGGTAAATTAATAAATGTATGTATCTATCTATTGGGCTTGAGTAATGTGCAGATTTCTTCAAAGATCTGAGAAATTTATTAGAAATTTAGAAATTATTTAAAATTGTGCAAGAATTATAACAAGTAGAAATAAACTAAAGGTAACAGAAAAGTTACAAAAAAAAATGTCAAATTGTTGACGACAGTCCTCTGGATATGGCAATAATTCTGCGCCCAACATGCCTGTTTAGACTTTTTTGTTCTTTTTTGTTGGAACATAGCGTATTCTAGATCTTCCATAATAAGAAAAGACTGTCCAAATCATGACAGTTCCACCACTAAAGTTCTTGTTCATCATTGTTTCCCCTTCTGCTTTCAAATCATGCTCAAATTCACTAAATCCTTCAGGACTGTCGAGATTAAATATTTTCTTGTCTAAAAAAAATTACATTTTTCCATTCTGACAACCATTTCATGTGGATCCTTGCATCCTTATGGCCTCTTGTCAGCGCCAGTACTTTTGCTTATTTTTATAAGCCACGTTTATTGTTGTGCTTAGAATTTTCGAAACACGACGTTTTTTATTGGAAAGATCAACTTCCGCTATAATAAGTCAAGTTCATTGACCTTTTTGGCTTACGGTAATTTTTTTGTTACCATTAATTTTTTTTCTACTTGCTAAAAATCTTGCCCAATTTTAAATAATTTCTAATAACTTTCTTAGATCTGTGAGTTTTTGAAGAAATCTGCGCCTTAATTCATTTTCTCTTCATTTTACTTGTATCGTCCTTTCGAAAGGGCCTTAAAGGGTATAAAAAACACACAAAACTTAATAATTAATATGATTCCAATAAATCCCAGCAATGTCAGATTTAAGATAAGATTACAGCTTACCTCTTTATTTCTTTATATAATGACTCTTATCACCTTTTCGGCTAAACGAAATACGCACTGAAATTAACACTGATTATCTCTCTTCACTGATAATACTCTCAATTTGGCATGTGTAGACTAATAACAGTTAAAAAATAAATGATTACATATCTAAAATTCAAAATATTGGCAGCCGACACAAGGTATCGTAGCAATTCGCAAAATAACGTTAAATAATCGGAACTACTTGACATTCGGGCACTGTATGTACAAATAAAGGATTTTTTTATTTATTTTGGTGGTATTAATAGCTGAAAATCTTCAGTTAGTTCGGTAAAATTTTGAAAAATTTCATTAAAAAAATTAAATAAAAAAAATAATTACATGAAGGGTAAACCTAAAAAATGTTTATACATATAGTTACATATATGTATGTACATATTTTGTATGAGAAATATTGACACGTGTAAATTAATATTAAAAAAAAAATTAAATACAACTTCCAACCGAATGACCTACTAATACATATCAACAATATTGTATTTTAAAAATTGTGTATATTTTTATTTTTTATATACTCAAAACGTTTAAAGAAATCAGCGCCGATTAAATCAAAAGCGATGATTAATCAAATACGAGCTAGCTAGCATGATGAGTAAACACAATTTGATAGCTTCGAGTGCCGCTAAAAATATTCGAACGCCACCAATTTGTTATTTTCGTTTAAATACTATAAACTTGAAGTTTATTAGCTGAGTAGTCAATTTTATAAGCATTCCGTTGTCTTTGAGTTGAATGAACTTTCAGCATAAGACAAAAAGGAAGTAAACATGTTTTTGTTTGGCAAATACAGGCACGTACATGTTTGTAGAATTCGATTTTTTTTTTTTAATATATATATTCTATTTATATTTCAGTATTTTTTCGGTTGACTTTTAGAGTAGTTAACCGTTCTGAAATTTATTTTTGTATTAACTCGGAACGTGTTCAAATTACTAATCAATGAAAATATTTTCAAAACATAAGCTCTTCTTCAGCATATAATTAAACAATTTGGCATACATTTAAGTTAAATTTAGAAATGAACTTTTTATACAGGGCATTTCAATACGGTATATTTGTTTGTGTGTTGTAAAATAAGTAAACTTGAATTTAGCAAGATACAAAAAAAGGAAAGTAGTTTCATTCAATATAAAATTGACAGAAATGGACAGAATTTTTCGATATTATATCTTCTTTTCATTTTAACTTCAAAATATTGCCCGTTTAAAAATATTTAATATATATTTTTTTTATAAAAAAAAATGCTAAGCTGCCTGAAAATATTTTTATTTCCATTAGATTTTAGAAAATACAATGCAAAGCCTATGATTTTTTTGAGGATACGTTTTATTTTTTTTTTATTTTTTTGGTTACATTGAAAAGTTTATATTTTTATTATATTTTTTTTTTTTGAATTTTAGTAAGATGATTTTTTTTTTACTAAATTGGTAGCAGAAAAATAAAGCACAAGGAAAAAAATCTTTTTATGTCAGATGGTTGGTTAATATTTTTGAAAAATTTTTGTGAAAGTACCTCGTTTTTTTTATCATGTATTTATGTTTGAAAGTATTATATAATATTATCCTCCAAAAATTTTTGTAGAATGTGAGCAATGACAAGACAATATAAAAGTTATTATATTACTGTGTTGTTTGTTTATTTACTTACGGTCAGCAATATCAGCTCTTTGATAATCATACAAAGTTTTAAAATAATTTTCTATGAATACTTTATCAGTGTTTAGTACAGTGGGGAGCAAAAGTGTTACCAAGATCAACGTATTCATGATTGAGCTCACATATAGCAAAGTAGAAATGAAGAAATGGAATAGTTATGATTGAAAAACCAAAACAAGCGGCTTGTACACGGTTCCGTTATTCGCTCATATTTTTGCTCTACTTACTTTCTTATCAGTAATAGACCTGCAGATTTGCCGTTAAGTGCCTTTTGCATTTATTACTCGTTTTAAGAACTCACTCTCTTTCACTGGTCTATAGTTGATTTGTTGAATTTTGAACTCTAATTTGGTCTCTAACTATTCACTGAAAAATTAAGAAGCTGTCTTCTGATAAAGAAAATAGTATTATCTACCTGTCTGTTCGACACGCACTATTGCTGATAAGCTGCAAATGAGTCAACCAGTGGTTGTCAAGGTATAGAAAAGACAAAATGTTTGTGCTGAAAAGAAGTTGAATGGTCGCCGTTGCCTTCTAAAAGACTCTGACGATCGACTTATGATGTCTAAAATGAGAAAAAAATAGAAGACTGGAAACGTGTTTTCTGGTCGGACAAATCTAAGTTTAATCGTTTTCAATCAGATGGAAAGAAATACTGTTGGCGGATACTTGGTGAGAAGCTTCAAAGGCATCATGTGAAGCCAACCGTGAAACATGGAGTCGGCAACATAATGGCAAGGGTGTGTTTCACCATTGCCCAAAATTGACGGGATTATGCGAAAGGAAGACTATTTGAGCATTTTGCAAACCCATCTTCCCAATTTTCTTTACCAGTGTGCGAACCCAGAGCACGAAATCACTTTTCAGCAAGATAGGGATCCCAAGCACACTGCGAAAATTGTTAAAGAATGGCTCGGAGGGCAAAATTTTAAGATGATGGAGTGGCCAGCGCAAAGTACCGACCTCAATCCGATTGAAAACCTATGGTCAATCGTAAAACGACTGCTCGGACGGCAGCAATCAGCTCCATCTAACTTGGACGATATTTGGGGCGTGTTGAACAAGAGTGAAATAATATTCCGAAAGAAATATTCGAAAAATTAGTTGAAAGTAAGCCAAGACATATGAAAACTGTCATAGAAAATAGGGGTCTCTGGACCAAAAATTAATTTATTAATTATTTAATTTATTTTGTTTTTTTTTTTCTTAAATGGTGCAAAGCTGAGTACGTGCCGCTTGTTTTTGTTTTTCTATCATTAGTATTCTTTAGCTTTTTCAATTAGTTTATTTCTTACGGCTAGTTTTTACCATTAAAATACTATCATTTACTTCGTTCGTTTAGTTTTTATGTGCTCCCAAACATGAAAACGTTGATCGTGGAAACACCATTGCTCCCCTGCACAAGTATATATATGTTAAATACACCGCAAAACGACCCCTCAATGTGTTATCAGCAATTTCTAGGAATATATGTATGTACATATAGCTGGCTTTAGACACTAAATTGCCGCTAAACTATTACAACGTGTACATATATAAAGTTCATATTATTTATTATATATATTATATATATATATATATATATATATATTAAAGATTAAAGATTTGCATTAACTTTTTAATTATTATCATAAATATTTCTATTCGCTTGCGGCCATTTCAACGATTGTATGTATGTATGTATATATATTGCCATTGATTGCTTAGTCCATAGCAATAATCTCTACCTAATCCCCTTTAGCTTCAAAATAATACGATATATGTATATACATATGTGCGCATACACTTCTGTATGTACATTTACACAAATTTGCCTTTTGCATTTATTTCAATTTTACTTTTACTCCGGCACTCCGTTGAAGCCAAACACAGTTTCTCTAAAAATTCCATAACTCACACCAGCATTACAATTGGCACCAGTAGTATTTGCGGCAAATCAATTGTACACGCATTCAAACATAAAGCAAAAAAAATGAGAATTTCAAATATTCACCTTAATGGAGTCAATTTGAGGCAGGCAATTAGAAGATGTTTCTCATATCCTAAAATCTCACACTTGAAGGCACTCTTCGTCGCTGGCTGTCCCCGTCTCACTGTTGTTTTTGTTATACGTAAATTTTCTTTATTTTTATTAAGTGCTGCTGTCTAGGCAAAAAACAAAGGCAAGAGTAATTTGCACGAGATGAAATCTCCGACAATGAATTGAATCGCACTTTCTTTACAATTAATAGTTGGCACTTTTCCTAATTCTACATGTATTCAAAAGTATGTACTTTACAATTTCGAAATTTTTGCTGTTGCAGCAAAATTTCTCACATTCATTACAAGTAGTAGTAAAACAACGCCAACAATTAAGACTCGGAACACCGGAGTAGACACTTGCTCCGCTCGTAGAATACACACAGCACAATGGAAAACACTTCTCGAACTATTGTCTAATTATCTGGCTTTCATTTTGTATATTGGTAAAAAAAAACGTTGTTTTTATATTTGTCTCTTAATTTACATTACTTAAACTGGAAACATTATAAAATTCCGACGGACAAAATAAATCGGATATGCGTTAATACAACTATTTGTAAATCTACGGTCGGGATGGCGATGGCCTGATAGTTTGACAGTTTGCTTTACTGTTGTCTTTCTTGTTATTGTTTTCGCTGATTTGACAGTTGTGCAGATTTTCGAAACGTTGCCATACTAGAAAAATTAAAGGAATTTTAAAATAAAAAAATAGTGGGAAGAGAAGAGAATATTGGGTTTCAGAGAAACAAAAAAAAGGTGAAATTAATGTTAAACATTTAAGGAATGTGAAATGAAATGTTTAAACATTGAGCGAGTGCAAATGCTGTTTTTGTATATTACAACAATTTGTTAAAATCTTTTGGGCACTTGGAATAGAGAGGTGTAGTAAGAGACTTGAAAACTGCACTATTCAAGACATGATAGATCTTGAGGAAATGTCAGGCCTTCCGAGTGCATTTCTGTCCTAAAATAAAAGTTTCTCATAAAAATAAAGCAGCCACTCGGGAAAAGGTATACTGTTGAAAAATTCGAAGACACACATCAAAAATTAGTGAAGGAGCTCAGACCCAACCCAGGAGCTAAGCAATGAGCAAAAGCAATTTGGAACCATTGGAAAAAGGCTGGATTCACAAAGAAGCTCGAAGTATGAGTGTCACATGAGTTAACAAGAAAAAAAATCATGTACCGAAAATCCATCTGCGATTCGCTACTGAATCGCAACAAAATTGAACTATTTCGACAGCAGTTGGTGACTGGCGATGAAAAATAAATCACTTACCGCAATGTCAGCTCAAAACGGTCGTGGTTGAAGAGCAGCAAGCTGTCACAAACGGTTTCCAAGCCAGGATTAATTGCTAGTAGTTGGGCCACCTGAAGGAAGCGATCGCCCAGAGGCACCCAGCCACCAGTCAACATGAGAGGAATTTTTTTTCATCAGGACGATGCCAGACCACACATATCTATAGTGATAGAGGTTCCTATGCATCCGCCTTATAGTCTAGACTTCGCACCAATTCATTTTTTGCCTATAGGGAAAGGCGTTTTCAAAATGGCAAAAAGTAATCGAGTATCGCAAATAAGCAACTCACAATGACAATTTTTGAAAGTAAGCATGACATAAAACAAATGAGAAAACAATGAAAAAATAATAAGATTAAGATTTTACTGGACAACATGAAAAAAATGCCACTTCAGCATGATTAAACAAACACACGGCCTGTGCTGTATTAGTAATCGCCAACCAGACAAATAAAATGAAAAATATATGAATTATTTTTTTAATTGCTTTGCGTTGGAATTTGGTCACGATATCTATGGGGGAAAACCATACGCATGAGACTCAACTTAGCCAGACTGGCCGCTGTCTCTTAATTCGCTGAACTTTTTTAAAATCTTCGTTCATCATCTCATACATCTGATGGTTCTGCATTTCTACACCATAAAGTAGTGCGGAAATCATGAGCAACTTGTGCAAAGTATCACCTAAGGGTGATTCTGCGTAGGATCTGAAAACGGACACTATTATTGGTGCTGATGATGGTTCCTAGTTAGATTAAATTATCTACTACTTCAATGTTATGTCGAGCCAGGTCGAGAATATGCTGACTGTTTGTCTGATGAGACACCTCGCTTCCGTTTTCAGTCTGGGGAAAGCAAAACGTAAACGTAAACGCGGCTGTTGAGGCCAACAATTTCATGTATCAGCGGCATCTTAAACACTGCAGCTTCTCCATTTAGTTCTACAGCTCCTATTATTTTTCCTAATAATATCTCGAAGAGATCCTCTCCAAATCCAACTGCCCTTTTGCTGTTGCCTCAATTAGCATAACCTTATAAGTTTGGTGAAGATATCAAGCTCGGCCAAGAGATGGTGTGTGCCAAACGCCTTTTTCAGGAAGTCTGGTTGATCTGCCACACTGATAAGGTACGATCAGTTCATTGAACGTCAGCTTAAAGTTGTCTTCATCATTTCAGACTAATTCAAATCTATAAAAAACAATAAATAATAGTTGTTAATATTTACACTAGCTTTTGCCTGTGGACTTGTTAAAAAAGCTGCTACATAAACAATTATATACTTTCATATATACAATAGATCTTTAAATTATAGTTATATCCCAATAAACACAAAAACTAAGGTGATATCGTACTAATTTGAAGAGACTAAGAGAAATTTATTAATTTCTCAGACTCGATTTGAAGAAAGCTCGAGTAATCGAGGTCCGGAAAAACTATTTTCCCACCATAAAAATACCGCAGCGGCTCGGGAAAAGGTATACTGTTGAAAATTCGATGACATATATCAAAAATTAGAGAGGGAGCTCGGAAATCGCTACAGTGTTAATAAAGTGTCATTTACATTATAATAAATTTGGTTGCTCTGACATAGTTAAATATCTTAGACTTGGATGGTTTGAACTAGGTATCCAGAGAACAACAATGTTTTAAACACAATACAGAAATACATATATACATGGAAGAGCTAACATATGCTGCAACAAACTAAATTTTACATCAAGATATTCTTCTTTTTTGCCGTAGGCACAGCTTACGATATCATAGCCGAATCAACAGAAGGGCGCCAAATGAAACCACGATCTTCTTCGCTTGAACCTTACAACGGCGTAAAAGTCTTCCTCTTCCTCTAACTCTACCAGCGGACACTACATAAAATATCTAGAATACTTATCTGGATAGGACCCTTATCAAACCCACATTACTCTAACAACTTCACCGTAATCTTGATGAACTACACCATTTCTGCTTGTCGCCCAGATATGGCTTGACAAGTACTTACATACCATAGATAGAGTTTTCGATATAACAGTCTTCGCTGGGTAAAAGTTGAAAACTATCTACTAATCAACCAAGTGTTTTTGCACGTTGGGTATATAACAAATCAAGCTATCTATCATTACTTTGTAGGTGTATATGTATTCACCCTCGCTTTCATATCAACTCGCTTAGATATACATAAATATTAAGTTTAATTAAAGACTTATATACATACACCCGAATGGAAATATGTAATAAATGCTCTAACGATTTATCTGCTCAAACCACACAATGCCACAAGTCTCCTAAAGCCAAAAGATCAGTTAGGTTTTGATCGTTCTCACGAATAGTTTGCCAAAATTTCGGTGTTCTCCCGAAATAATAAAGTTTATTTTTAAAATAAATTAGAAAATTGTTTTAAACGCATATGTAAATACATACGTATGTACATACGAGTCAAGTAAAGTATATGTATATATATAAATATGTATGTAGGTAGATAATTTGAAACTCTCTCAATGCTGCTCTACGTTTTTATCATCGCTTTGGCTTTGCTTGTCGCCTGGTTACACAAGCTAAATCGGGATTATTGTGTAATGGCATTTTTCGCCAAACGCTTAAAGACCGTCGATGGTACGCCGCTGGAGCGTGTCGTGCCACAAGCGAAGGCGGAGACGATATTCGGCAACGTTTTCGATTATTTTGGCGCTAATAATGGTTTGAGAACAAACAACTTGTGTCTGTATGTATGTATTTTAAAAATCTCTATTTGCCCGTTGCAGTTGCACTCTTTGACAGCTGCCGCATTTCCGCTGCCAATTTAAAAAAGAGTTACGTGGAATATGCTTTATTTACGACCTTTTACAATGTTATAACCGCCGAAGATGCTGAACTGTTGCTGAATGACAAGAACTTACTTACCAAAGGTATTGCATACTATTTTTTGGAGCCGTTTTTGCAGACGGGTTTGCTAACATCAGGAGGTAATTAAAGGCTTAGATATTATAAAAATAAAATCTCATATTAAAAACATGAATTAATTGAAAAAAATCATAAAAGCAATTTGAAAATATTTGTGCCTTTTTAGGTAAAAAGTGGTATACACGCAGAAAAATGTTAACACCGGCTTTCCACTTCAACATACTCGGCCAATTTGAAGACGTTTTCAAGTGAGTTAATAACCGACGGCATGAACTTGATAAAAGAGAAATACACAATATTGTTTTCAATATTGTTTACTAGTGATAACAACGTAAAAATAATGTATGAACGCATAGGCAATATAGATTAAATTTTACAATCTGTATTAGACTTAGAGTAGCACAAGTAGAAAAAAAGCGTTTGTAGTTTGGACAATGCTTACAGAAAAAAATTTATATATGTATGTAAGTAAGTGAAATAAGGTAGAATAAAATTGCAAAAAAAAAATAAAAATTAATTGAAATAAAATATAATATAATAACTAAAATCAAAATAACATAAAACCAAATAAAGTAAAATAAACCAAAAATAAATAAAGCGAAACAAAATTTAAGAAAAGTAGAAAAATAAAAAATAATAATAAATAAAAGAGAAAATAAATAAAGTTTCAATAAATTAAATTAAATTAAATTTAACAATATAAATAAAATAAATTAAATTATTTAAAAGCAAATTGAAATAAAATGTAGCAAAACTAAAGTAAAGAAATATAAAAAACAAAATAATGTAATAAAAATAAAATAACATAAAAGGTTAAGAAAATTAATATAAAATAAAAATTAAATTAAATTAAATTAAATAATATAAAATAAAATGAAATAAAAAAATTCTCTTCTTTATTGGCGTTGGCAACGCCTACGCGATTATAGCCGAATCAATCTTAAATTAATCCATTCATCTCTTGTTTTCGCTGCTTGGCGTCAGTTGGAAATACCAGCTGAAGCCAGGTTACTCTCCACCTGATCCTTACAACGGAGTGCTACTTCCACCAGCGGGTACTGCATCGAATACTTTCAAAGCCGGAGTGCTTTCATCCATTCGAACGACATGACCACTGTCACTGCATTCGCTGAACTATGTCAATATCAACAAAAAAAATTAACATAAATAAAGTAATATTAAATTAAATTAAATTACATTTAATGAAATTAAATTAAAGTAAATTTGAAAAATAAATACATTAAAATAAAATAAATTAAAATAAAATAGGTCTAACGTCTAAGCTAAATCAAGAATAAAATCAGTAAAATAAAATTATTATTTATTATTATTCATATCAAAGATTGCTAAAAATAATATAGTGTAAAATTGAAAATAAAAAAAATAAAAATAATTTACTTTAATGTAGAGTTAAACAAAAAAAGGATGAAATAAGATTTGATAATATAATATAAAAAGAATTAAAAAATTAATATATAAAAAATAAATTATATATGAAATAAAACGAAATAAAATAAATTAATTAAAATAACATTAATATTATTATTATTAATAATTAACGGCCTTAAAACTCCAAATATATAACCTAATATTTAATTAAGGTTTACTAAGTTTAAAAGAATAAGATAGTATAAGTTGCAATAAAACAAATAAAGAAATGAAAAAATGAAACCAAATATAAAAAGGAAAGATATAAAAAAACAAAAAATTAAATTTTATAATGTATTAAATAAATGAATTGAAATAAATAAAATAAAAAATTAGTTAAAACCCAACTATAAAATAAACTAAAATGAAATTGAAGTAAAAGAAAATAATATAAACTGAAAATAAAATAATATAAAAAAAAATTATATAACATATATCAACAAAATAAATATCAATAAGTTAAAATAAATATAAAATAAAACCAAATAAAGTAAAATAAGAAATGAAATTAAATTAAGTACTATAGCGTAATTTTTAATTGAAATATGCTAAATAAAAGAAAGTAGATTATAATGCATAAAGTCATTTAACAAAAAAAAACAACAACAAAATAGAAAAAGGAAAACTATAGTAGAAGATTACTTTCATACAATAAAATAAATGAAGGAATAAAATAAAACAGCATAAAATAAAATATTTTAACAAAAAATAAATAAATTAAATAAAAAATAAATAAATTAAGATTAAACTAAATTACGGCTAATAGAATCAAACTAAAAACAAATATCATAGTCACAGTTAACCATCTTCTACTTAATTGCCCGCTGTATGCCATTCATAGAGAACGAATTTTTACTAACACAAGTCCAACTTCTTACCTCTTACTTCCCTCAGCCGAATCAACCCTTTTAATAACGAACTTTTTCAAAAGAACAAATATCTTTCATAAGATTTAAACAAAAGGAATCTAAACTTAAAAATGTAAATATGTAAATAAGTATTGAGCTTAAGGCCTAGTAGCTATAGCTCCCGAACAAATAGCTTATAAGATTTATGTTGTAAGTTTTTTTTTTTATATAAATAAAACAAATAAAATAATTTAAAAGAAATTAAATTATATTAAAGACCGTAAACTAAAATAAAATGAAAAAATGTAGACACTTGAGTTAAATTCGTAAAAATTTTAAATAATTTTAACGCTTTTTTTATAAATATTGATATTATTTTTTATATTCTTTAATCCTTTCAATATTTTTATATTTTTGTTGTTTTTTATTTGTTATTGCTTATAATTTCATATATGTATATCTTCTTAGGGAGGAGAGTCAGAAATTCGTGGATCAATGTAAAAACTTAGACAAAAGTTCAATAACTCTGAATGAGATCATACCGAAATTTACATTAAACAGCGTTTGCGGTTAGTATAATTTCTATTAATTTAATTTTTTTCTCAAATTCTGCATTTGCATAAAAAATATCTACAGCTATAGTATATATATACAATGTTTCATATGCGTTTTACGCATACTCACTTAATTTTTTGGTTGTTGTTTTTTTCTATGATCAAATACGAATACTTTTAACTTCCACTGGTTGCCTCTCACAGATGCTGCACTGGGTGTTAAATTGGATGAGCAACTGGATGATCAGCAATATCGCGAGAGTTTCAAAATGATCGAAGAAGCGTTTATTGCGCGCATTAGCAATCCATTTTATATGATCGATGCCATATATAATGTATTTATGGCACCAAAAATGGAAAAGCATTTGCGAACAGTGCACGAGTTTTCCAGCAACATCATACACAAGCGTCGCCAACTTTTCGCCGCAAAGTTGGAACATAGTCCCACAGGGCAGGAAAAGGAAGACAAGTGAGTTTCAATTCCTCATAACTTATTCTTATCATCCTTACATCTCACTGTTTTATGTTAGCTTTGCCAAGAAGAAACGCTACTCCATGCTGGACACTCTCTTGCATGCCGAACGTGATGGTTTGATAGATCATGCGGGCATATGTGAAGAGGTCGATACATTTATGTTTGAAGGCTTTGACACCACATCGATGGCGCTCATATTTACCTTGATGAATCTATCGTTGTACCAGGAGATGCAGGAACAATGTTATCAGGAGATTTTGGAATGCGTTGAAGGTGAGCGGCGGAGCCTTGTCTCACATTGTACATTTGTGTATACGTGTATACTGAACTTTTGTGTATTTTCTCAACACAGATGATCTGCAAAAGCTGGATGTAAATGTGCTGGGTAAACTCAAGTATCTGGAATGTTTTATCAAAGAGACTCTACGTCTATATCCCTCTGTGCCGGGTATAATGCGTAAAGTGATGCAGGATACGAGTCTTGCCAATAATGTCTTTCTACCTGCGGGCACGGAAATATCAATACATATCTTCGATATACAACGTGATCCCAGATATTTTCCCGAACCAAATAAATTTGATCCCAGTCGTTTTACACCTGAAAATTCTGAAGGTAGGCATCCTTATGCTTACATACCTTTCAGCGCTGCTCAGAGAAATTGCATTGGTGAGCGTTATATATATATATATATATATATATTGTGTCGTTTGCGGTTTACAATTTCAATATCTATTTTAGGCCAAAAATTTGCTATGTTGGAGATGAAAACTCTGCTGGTCTACATATTGAAGGATTTCCGTATTTTACCTCTCATGGACCCCAAAGATTTGCAATTTGAGTCTGGCATTATCTTGAGAACGCCTAATGCGATTAAAATTAAATTGCAGGAGAGAATTTGAGGAAGTTAAATTTAAAGTTAAATACATTAATATTCATTGAGTTGCTTGGAAAATGATCATTCAAATCAGAGTATATATATATATATGTAAGTTCCGCTAGATGGGGCTAGAAAGATGATATTTCGTACTAAAAAAGTTTTTCTGTCAATTTTGTGATTGGTTGATTCAGTTTTGTTTGAGCGTGGGTCAAAGAGGGACACTTAGCGAAGGGGTAATACGCTATATTTTACAGTTTTTCTTCGTTAAAAGCGCAAACGCAAAAGGGTTTATGGTACGGATGCTCTTACAGTCAATCATACACAATTTTTGTGTCGTCGATTCGATTCAGGATAATTTTGGTGTAAAAGATCCTCCACGGTGTGGAAACCCATTTATGAAAATGTCCATAAAGTAATGGAAATCTTCGAGACTCACTGTCACGAGAGTAATGTTTCGATCACCCAGGAGCTAAGCATTGCGCAAAAGCAATTCGGAACCATTTGAAATGGTTGGTGGCTGGATCCACAGAAACCTCATGCACCGAATTTCCATCGTAACAAAATTTACCTATTTCTGAAGCAGTTGGTGACTAGCGCAACATCAGCCCAAAACGGTCGTGTTCGAAGAGCAGCAAGCCGCCACAAGCGGTTTCCAAGCCAGGATTGATTGCCAGTAGTTGGGCCACCTGAAGGAAGCGATCGCCCAGAGGCACCCAGTATTGGTCAACGTGAGAGGAATTTTGTTTCAACAGGACGATGCCAAACCACACATATCTATAGTGATAGAAACTCCGAGGGAGGTTCCTATGCATCCGCCTTATAGTCTAGTCTAGTCGCAGCAATTCATTTTTTGCCTATAGGGAAAGGCGTTTTCAAAACGGCGAAAAGTAATCGAGTATCGCAAATAAGCAACGCACTTAAAATCGCGGAAGTAAGCATGACAAACAGAATGACAATTTTTGAAAGTAAGCATGACATAAAACAAATGAGAAAACAATGAAAAAATAATAAGATTAAGATTTTAAGGGACAACATGAAAAAAATGCAACTTCAGCATGATTAAACAAACACACGGCCTGGGCTGTATTAGTAATCGCCAACCAGACAAATAAAATGAAAAATATATGAATTATTTTTTAATTGCTTTGCGTTGGAATTTGTTCGCGATACCTATGGGGCTAGAGTGTTTTCCTCCATACGCATGAGACTCAACTTAGCCAGACTGGCCGCTGCCTCTTAATTCGCTGAACTTTTTTAAACTCTTCGTTCATCATCTCATACAGCTGATGGTTCTGCATTTCTACACCATAAAGTAAAGCGGAAATCATGAGCAACCTGTGCAAAGTATCACCTAAGGGTGATTCTGCGTAGGATCTGAAATCTGACACTATTATTGGTGCCGATGATGGTTCCTAGTTAGATTAAATTATCTACTACCTCAGTGTTATGTCGAGCCAGGTCAAGAATATGCTGGCTGTTTGTCTGATGAGACACCTCGCTTCCTTTTTCGGTCTGGGGAAAGCAAAACTTACGTAAACGCGGCTGTTGAGGCCAACAATTTCATGTATCAGCGGCATCTTAAACACTGCAGCTTCTCCATTTAGTTCTACAGCTCCTATTATTTTCCTAATAAGATCTCGAAGAGATCCTCTCCAAATCCAACTAACATTTTGCTGTTGCTCGGCCTCAATTAGCATAACCTTATAAGTTTTGTGAAGATATCAAGCTCGGTCACCATCTCTCATCGCCATCTCTTGGTCAAATGCCTTTTTCAGGAAGTCTGGTTGATCTGCCACACTGATAAGGTACGATCAGTTCATTGAAAATCAGCTTAAAGTTGTCTTCATCATTTCAGACTAATTCAAATCTACAAAAAACAATAAATAATAGTTTTTAATATTTACACTAGCTTTTGCCTGTGGGCTTGTTAAAAAAGCTGCTACATAAATAATTATATACTTTCATAGAGGTCCGTATCGTAGAGGTCCCTTGAAATCGCTGCAGATTGGGTTGACAGAGTACGTAAAAAAATCTGAGATCTGCTTCTTTACTACTTCCGAATTGGGAATACCTGCAGGAGACGTAATGTGCCAAAATGAAGTTTGGGGCCTCATTTACATACCTATTCCTTCGCTAGTAGGTAAGAATAGATGGACAGCGGACCCATTGAAGATATCCCTATCTATACAGATAAGTCTAAATGTGAGGCAGGCACTGGAGTAGGGTTCGTCTGTGACCATGGCAATAACCAAAGGTAGCCTCAAACTCAATGATTACAACTCTGTATTCCAAGGGGAGATTGTGGGAATGACTAAAAGTGCCAAATTGGCAGCCACTTTATTGGGAAAATATTTCAGGTTTCTGGTCAAGACAGTCAGGCGACAATTAAAGCAATTGAGTGCATGAATACAAAGTTCAAATGCGTAAGAACATGCAAAGCGGTAATTAACGCGGGAAAACACAATGCATATCACTTTGGTCCAAAGTCAGACGGATCTAGAAGGCAATGAAAACGACCACGGACGAGCTGCTTCACATTGGCGCCACTGGCGCGATGGTCACCATTGACTATCTCAGATCTTTCAGACGCCATAAAGGATCACTTAAAGTTTTTGATCTCTTTCGACGTAAGACGCATCGTGAAGCAGCGTGAATAGTAGACGGACCAAACCGTTGTTTGCATTAACATACTCTGGCATTATGCCAAGTTAGACGTCACACAATGCTCACTCTGATCAAATCTCGCGGAGGGGAGTACGCATGTTTGAAAGAAGCTTAAAGAATTTATAAAATCGCTCTTACTTTTCGCAAACATCTAGTTGGGATACCCAGTAGGGCTGTTTGGCTTAGGTTTAGCTGCCTGACCTGACCGCAAGGATCCTACAGCTCTCTTTTTCAACTAACCAACAGTAAGTAATTTGAAAAAAAAATAATAATTTGAATAAATTTAGAGCTAGATGTAGGGTGACGGACTACTGACACATGACAGGAAACTAAACGACGACTAAGTGATGGCATTTGACATCGAACTTAACGTGGACTAAACAACGTAAGTCAAGCTTGAACTTTTACATATTGCACGATTGAGGAAGATCTTAACACAGTCAGTTGAAGTTGGACGGTGAAAGAAGATCTTACACAGTCGCTATACTCGCTAGAAACTATTGGGTTGCCCAAAAAGTAACGCAACGCAATGAAATCGATCCGTTTTTAAACGGAATCATAACTGGAGATGGAAAATGGATTGTTTACAACAACGTTAGTCGAAAACGATCATGAACCAGCTCAAACCACTTCAAAGGCTGATATCCACCAAAAGAAGGTTATGCTGTCTGTTTGGTGGGATTGGAAGGGTGTCGTATATTTTGAGCTGCTTCCAAGGAACCAAACGATTAATTCGGATGTTTACTGTCAACAATTGGACAAATTGAATACAGCCATCAAGGAGAAGCGACCAGCATTGGTCAATCGTAAAGGTGTCATATTCCACCAGGACAACGCTAGACCGCACACATCTTTGGTCACTCGCCAAAAACTGAGTGAGCTTGGCTGGGAACTTTTGATGCATCCACCATATAGCCCTGACCTTGCACCATCAGACTACCATTTATTTCGATCTTTGCAGAACACCTTAAATGGTAAAACTTTCGGCAATGATGAGGCTATAACATCGCACTTGGTTCAGTTTTTTGCAGATAAAGGCCAGAAGTTCTATGAGCGTGGAATACTAAATTTGCCAGGAAGATGGCAAAAGGTTATTTGATTAAAGTTTATTCTAAGTTTTATTAAAAATGCATTTACTTTCTTTTGAAAAATCCGCAATTACTTTTTAAGCAACCCAATAGCTCCTCTCTAATTCGAGGCATATTATTTGTGCTTATTGGGATGCATTTATTTCACGTAAGGTCCCAGGTATTTAAAATGCAGCCAACCCTCAAAGGGGGCAAATTTGCAACAAATACAATTTAATAATACATATCTGTACCTTATCTAGCATTATTACGGATCACCACTTAGATATCATATTACGTACATATGTGTACTGCACTATATACGAGTACATATGTACATTTGTTTAGAGAATTGGCTGATAAGCATGATTCTCCTACTAACTGTTTCTATAAATTAGCACAAATGACATTTTATTATTTTTATGCAATTTCAGTTTGGAACTTGACTTCGCAGTGAACGCTTATTAGAATACACTTGTTTAACTGTAATTTTTCGAATTCGGTATTTTTAGTCATGTTGTTTTGGGCGCTCGTCATTGGTGCGATCATAGTCGCTTGGTTGTACAGACTCAACAAAGATTACGTCGTTTTGGCCTGTTTTACCAAACGCGTTCGCACAGTTGATGGCACACCGTTGGAAAATTCGGTGGCCTTGCCCAAGGCTCGTACAATATTCGGCAATGCCTTCGATTTAGCAGTATCCGGGGATAATAGTGAGTTTTGCATTGACAATTAAGTAAGGTGAAGGCAGTGGCAGATACCATAGAATATTGACTTCGCGTCGCGTTGCAGTTGGCCTTTGACAGCTGTCAATCGAGAATATCAATTACAGTCAAGTTCTTCTCCACCTGATCTTCCAACGGAGTGGAGGTCATCTTCCTCCTCTGCTTTGCCGTTCTCCACGCGCAGAGGACCGTAAATCTTACGATAAGCCTCGAAAACACCTAACGCCGTCTCAGCAGATATTTTTATCATCCATATCTCCGCGTAACATGGCAGTTCGGGAATGATGAGCGACTTGTAGAGTTTACTCTTTGTTCATCAATAAAGGATTTTACTTTCCAACGGCTCATAAGCGCCATCTATATATGTATACGCTCATCTTCTGTCAAGCGGAGAATGGCTTTGAAGGTGTCAAAGCTCAATAAGCAAATGGTAGATGTTTAGTGTAAAAGGTCGCGATCGGTTCCGGGTTCAGGGCATTCCAGACTGTTACTGGTTTTCGGCCACCGGTCTGTTGGATTTTTCGATTATCCCTTGGATGCATCAGTCGGTCTGTGGGACGGGAGGTGGGTAACGCTGGGTTTGTCGTTAGATGGCACACCCAGTCTAATAAACTCTTAAAACTCTTGATGTCTTCCAACAAGTGGAGGTTCCTACAGTTTATACTAAGCCGCCTCCGAACGGCTGATGGTTGTTCTTATGAGGAGCTTTATTTCATGCTAGAAATACTCTCGGAGGGGTGGTCATTCCCTGCCGAGGAGCGACCGCAATTAGAAAATTGAACTTAGTTTTTTATTTGAATTGATTTTCCATAACTTTTGGATGTTGGTGGCACTCTTAAGATATAGCTTAACTTAAAACAGCAACTTTGTATGAAGCGTTAAAGCCTGCGTTAACACAAAAGCTATATGGAGACACTCCTTAACTTTCCCCGCTTAAATTTTTTAATTTTTTCTTCGCATGGCCAATAGGATAAGACAAATAGATACACTTCAATATCCCCAGGAGCTACTATGGCGAAAACAGTGGCATACATTTTTGCTACTTTTAACTTCAAAATGTCTTCGTCAAAGCAAAGTATTGCACACTAGATGGCGCTTTAGTCAAAAGAAGTTTAATTTAGTTTTTTTTCTTCAACTAATATAATTTTTCATTATCTAATTCTAACAAATTTTTTTATGCTTTTTTTTTTGTGTGATTTCCTATTAGTTTTCACATTCTCGCGCAAACTTGCTGCCACAATGAAAAGAAGTTACTTGCAATACGGTTTTTTCATGCCATTTTATAATATTATCACAGCCGATGAAGCGGAAATTGTGATGAGTGACCAGAAAAATTTAATTACCAAAGGTTTAGTATATAATTTTATGGTGCCATTCTTAAATCGGGGACTTCTGACGTCATCAGGTAAAGTGTGATTGAAATAAAAAAATTTGAGCAATAATAAACTTTTTAACGAAATTTCAGGCAAACGTTGGCATGCACGCAGAAAAATGTTGACGCCCACTTTTCATTTCAACATACTTGGACAATTTGAAGAGATTTTCAAGTGAGTTTGTACATTTCCAGAACTATAATTTTTGAGCTCATTTGGCGAAGGCATTACACTAGAAAGAAGTAATACTTTTTTTTGGCATTAAATTGAAGGTAATATCATTATGCCTCTCGTCTCACATAATTACATTTGTTTTTTTTGACCAAATATTTGGACAACCGATTTAATAGGCTTTTCTTGAGCCTGCTTCATCACCATCCAAATCATTCGCCATAGACAGGAACAGATGGTAATCATTTGGTGAGAGGTTTCATCACCAGTCACCATACGCTTCAGAAATGGAAACTTAGTCCATGAGGCCTTTTCTCGGTAACTCAAGTGGTGCCCATATATCGGGCATCTTTGTGTATCCAGACTTTTTTCCACTATTTAATCAACAATTCTTGACAATTGATTTTCTACAACGTGGAAAACATTTTACATCAAAATCCATCCATCTATTGCAAAAATAATGTATTACTTTTTACTAGACCAATATATTACACTAGTTTTTAAATTCTTTTCTGTTTTTACTTTTTGTTATTTTTATAATTTTTTCATTCGTTTTCAAGTCTGAAATTTTAAATTACATTTTTCAGGGAAGAGAGTAAAAAATTTGTTGAGAACTTGGAAGCTAGTGATTTGAATTCAATTACACTGAACGAAATCATACCACGATTCACACTCAACACCGTTTGTGGTAAGCTAAATTTACATATGTAGGTCAAGAACTCATAAAAACCGCTAAGAAGAAATGATTAAAAAAGAGAAAGCTCATTTGAATAATATTAAAATATTATTAAAATGTTGTACAAACCCACAAAAGCGGATAATAATTATATTTCTCATTTGTCTCATAAGCCAAGATCGATTAATTGTCACAACCATATTTTAGGCCTTAAGCCTACTTTCCTAATTAATATCAGAATAATTGCCTTTTAATATCTACTTTAACTTATTTTTACCGACTTTTGCTTTTCATTCCCCCGCCCGGTCAACAGAAACCGCTTTGGGCGTTAAATTGGATAAGCAAATGAATGCCGATCAATATCGTGCCAGCTTCAGAATGATCGAAGAAGTGTTTGTAACACGCATCGGAAATCCATTCTACTTGATCGATTTGGTATACAACATTTTTTTAGCGCCTAAGATTGAAAAGCATATTTCAATTGTGCATCGTTTCTCCAGCGATATAATCGATAAACGCCGGCAATTATTGGCAGCTGAAATCGAACGCGAGCCAGGAGTTAAAGATGATGAAAACGAGGAGTAAGCGACTCTTTAGATTGTCTAAAATTAATTCTTAATCACTAATTTTTACTTAAATCGGCTTTAGTTTCAGCAGCAAGAAACGCTACGCCATGTTGGACACTCTATTGCGCGCCGAACGCGATGGTCTAATCGATCATGCGGGTATTTGTGAGGAAGTCGATACATTTATGTTCGAAGGTTTCGACACAACATCGATGGCGCTCTTATTCTCATTTATGAATTTCTCTCTGTATCCGGAAATGCAGGAGCGTTGCTATCAAGAGATACTCGAATATGTTGATGGTTTGTAAAGAATTTTGTATGTATATATTTCGCTGAGATCTTAACCAAACTAAATTACCCACACTATCCAAATAGATGACATTAGCAAATTGGACGTAAATCAGTTGGCCAAATTGAAATACATGGAATATTTTATTAAAGAGACTTTACGTCTATATCCCTCAGTGCCGGTTATCACACGCGAAACGACGAGCGAGACAATATTGCCCAATAATTTAATATTACCTGAGCGCACACAAGTCATTATACATATAATAGATATACATCACAATCCCAAATACTTTGAAAATCCCAATACATTTGATCCGGAGCGCTTTACACCCGAACGTTCCGCTGGTCGTCATCCCTTCGCCTTTGTGCCGTTTAGTGCTGGACAAAGAAATTGTATTGGTAAGAAAATATTAAAATATATAGGGTTATCCATTTCGTGGTTTCAGGGCTGTGCAGGGCTGTATTTTGACATTTGTCGACAACAAGTTATGACGGAGATACCGTCAAATATGTGCCAAAGAGTAAGTGAAAATTATGTCAAATGGTTCGAAGCTCGCGAAAGTACGGAAGCGCTCATTTGAATTTATTGTCCAAACCCCAAAGTGGATAAGCCTGTATTAATGTATATATATAAATAATTATTACAATAGTATTTGTGTTTATTTCTTTCACTTTGAAGGACAAAAATTTGCTATATTGGAGATGAAAACGTTTTTTGTTTACATTTTGAAGAAATTTCGAGTTCTACCTTTAATGGATGCCAAAGATGTGACGCTGGCCGCGGGCATGGTCATAAAAACGCCAAGTGCGGTTAAGGTTAAATTAGTGAAAAGAGTGTGAAAGTTAAAATTACTTGGGTGTTTATATAAATTAAGTTTTATAAAAAAAAAATCTTGTTTTAATTATGGAAAAATTGTAATATTTTTTTTAAATTGTTAAAAAATAATAAATGATATAAAGATGTAAATAAAAATAAAAGAAAAAAATAAAAATATAATAAAAAATAAATAAAATAATCTTCCACTTAAATATGGGAGAGTCCATAAACTATATAGTGCGGAGGAGTGTGGGAAGGCGTTGATGGAAATACCACAAGTACTGCATACAGCAACACGTACTATAACCGCTAGAGAGGACAGCTCACCGGCAGGCTTAAAACGCCATTCACCGAGAGCTCGTTAACACCTTCTTGGACCATCTTCCAGTGAAAGGCGTTCTCGGAGCCTCGCCATCACCCATTGCAGGCGAAGAGCTCGAGCTACCTCGGGAGTCTCAATTCATACTGTCACAATTAAGTTCGGGATATTGTGGTCGACCAAATTCCTGCTTATCCAGGCTTGACACCGACGTACCCGACGTACATACAAATGTAACGCATTCAATGAGACCCCACACGAACTAAGCACCTCTTTACATGTCCCTTAAAACCTACTCATCTAGTCTCCTTCCATTGGATGACCTCGATGACATAGACTGATCTTGCTTGCTCGCTCTATACAGCACTCAAATGCTACACAACAGTCTCGTAACCGCGCGGAGATGGAGACAGCAAAGCTACGAAGAGTTCCATGAAGGCCTAAAAGATGGGCAATCGCGTAATTTTTTCAAAACGAGAAAAATTCTTAATTTTTATTTTACTTTTCACGATCTATTGCAGTATTGTTATTATTATTTTTTATTCAACTTGAAGTACGCTTGATATCCAGTCTATTAAACTAAGTTTGCATTTATAAAAATTACAATCTCCAATCACGCCACCAATTTTTTCAGCTTCCTTGTACAGCGCGCTCACCGCTGTTGGCTTATCTGCCGACGTGCTGGGGCTAAAATTGAAGGAAAGTTTAAAGCTCTTAAAAAGAAGAAGTTGGTTGGAGGTTTTGAAAATGTCTACCTCAATAAAATATGCATGATCTTCTCGAAAACGCTATGTTGTTGCTGGAACTTCAGAATGTTCGCCTCGCATATCGCCTTTAGTACACACTGCATGCCATTGTAACCGTAGCTTTGGAAAAAATAAGAAGATTTATTTTCGGTTTTGACCTCGAACTGTCAGCTTTCGACTACAGCATAATGTTAATGTTGAAAAAAGAAAAAAAAGTCGAAAAATAACCGAGTACCTCTCAAGACGATCCGCTATATAAGAATATAAATTCCAACGCAGCGTAGATTGTCTCGACTCTCTGGCGTAAATGTACGTTGGATTTGTGGAATTATATTTACTTTTATATTCCGGCCAAAATGGATTTTCACGAAAAACTGTCGCATTGTAGGGCAGCCAATATTCAGCCTTGAGAACATGGCCAACGGTTAGGGATTCATAATCGAGATCTGCTGGTATGCCAATGCCGCCAATGAACTGTTAGATAATTAAATAAAATTAAATAAATAATAAACTAAGCTAAAAGGAGAAATTTATTAATGTTTTATTAAATATGACAAATTAAAATAAAAGTCAAGTAAAATATAATAAAAAAAAGAATTAGAAGAAAAAAATTATATAACGCATAGCAATAATTAATATACTGTAATAAAAACTAATATAGGATTAAAACTAGAATAAAATAATAAATAGAATTTCACTAAAATTAATTAAAAATTAAATTATATTTAAATTAAATTACACAACACAAAGAAATGATAAAAGTAAGATTAAAATATTAGAAAAATAAACTAAAAGAAAATTAAATATATAATAAAAAAATGTAATAAAACTAAATAATATCAGAAAAAAATAACAATAAAATAAAATAACATAAAATAAAATAAAATAAAATAAAATAAAATAAAATAAAATAAAACTAAAACTAAATTTAAATTAAATTAAATTAAATGAGATCAAATATAAAAACAAAATAAGAAAATTTATAAAAGTAAATTAAATAAGATAAAATAAAACAAAAATTTAATAAATAAACTAAAATAAATTAAAAGATTATAAAATAAAATTAAATATGCTAAAATAAAATAGAAATCACTTAAAAAAGATATATATAATTTAATATTAAATAAAAATCAAGTAAACTAAAATAAGATAAAAAAATTATAAAACTAACATAAAATTAGATAACACAAAAGAAGGATAAATAAAATAAAAATTTATATAAGAATCAAATTGAAATAAAATTTACAATTAAGAAAAGTAATAAAAAAAGATAAAATAAAAGTAAATAAAATAAAAAAAATATATATGCGCATATTTTTTTTACCTTATTTACTTTTAATTCATTTTTTTTTTTTTTGCATATTTTGTTTTACTCACTTTTGATTTTCTATTTGATTTTTATTTATTTTATTTGTAATTTTCTAATATTTTAATTATATTTTAGCTTAAAGAAAAATTTGAAATATACAATAAAAAGAAATAATGAATTAAGTAAAAACAAAATAAAATGAAATAACAATAGAATTCATAAAAATGGAAAAAAGAACATGTTGTGTTAAATAATAATAAATAAACGAAAAGAAAATAAAATAAAATAAAATAAAAATAAATAAAATGAAGGAATTTAAAATAAAAATATATTAAAAAAATAAATAAAAAATGAAATTATACTAAAATAAAACATAACAACATAAAATAACATGAAAATAAAAATAAAAGACAAAAATAAACTACACAATAGATAACAAATATAATAAATCAAAATAAATTAGAATAGAAATAAACTAACAATAAAACAAAATGTAATAACAAAAAAAAATTAAATTAAATTACGGAAATAAAGTAGGATGATAAAACAAAGTAAAAAATAAAAACTAAGAAATTAATAAAATAGAAATATAAATAAAGTGAGATCAAATAAAATGTTAAATTAAAAAGTAAAATTAAATTAAATAAAATAAGAAAAAATGGAATAAAATTAAATTAAGTAATGTAGAAAATAACTCAATTAATGAAATAAAATAAAACGTAAAATAAAATAAGCATAAATTTAACTAAAACAAAATTAAGTAAATTAAAATAAATAATAATAATACAAAATAAATTACAAAAATAAAATTTATGAAAATAGAATAACTTAAATTGAAATAAAATTAAAAAAGGAATTAAATAAAATTAAATCAAAAAAGTGGAATAAGATATAAAAAAAAAATAAAATTAAATTATATTAAACAAAAAACTAAATTATATTAAACAAAAATTAATATATAGCAAAATAAAATTTTGTTATCAAATCAACTTGAATTGAAATAAGTTAATATAAAACCCTCAAATAAATTGTTAATAATTTATCTTCGCTTACTTGATAACGTGTAGGTGCTTGTCGAGGAAATATTAGAAACCTTTTGCTCCTTTGCAAGCCATGCGTGGCAGTCCTTGTACAGCCACTGTTGAGAGTGAAGGCTACAAGGAACCAAATGCTGAGAGAACAACAACCACCCATTGTAAGCAATTTGAATTGACTAAATTATAAACGCACTGAAAATGTGAAAATATGCGATTTTCCTGGCAGTTCCCCTCTCCCCAAAGTTGTTGGGTAAACAAGTAGAAGTTTAAACTCAAAACGAGGACAACTTCACACTGCCAAGGTGAGAATGCTAATTACAGCGAAATGCTTTCACACCTGCATACCAAACGCCCATAGCCCATTCACCACCTTTTTTGCTGCAGCACCTCAGCATTAACACCGCATAAGTTAGCACTGATTAAAGACATCTTCGGTTTAGCTACATTTATGCCACATTTTATTTTGCCCGCGCATTGAAACTAGTAAATTTTTATTATTTTACATATTCGACAATATAAAAAACAAAATAAAAATTACTTAATTAGCGTTAGTGCGCATGCGTGCGCTCTTGCACACCAACTTTGCAAGGAAAGAGTTAAGATATTTATTAATATAAAAAGAAAAAGTAGTTCACTTGGAATTTTTAACACCGAAAGAAAATTACATTAACCAATTCACAGAAACGTTGATCTGTAAAGCAAATACTTCGTTCGTTTAGTAGTTGCGCTGTAAAATTCGACGTTTAGCCTGATCCTCCTCAGTTTTCAAATTACTTTTCTTTACATGCAATTGCCAGGCGTCGCTCATTTGGAAAATATCAACCAAAGTCTTGAAAGAAACACTCTTTTTGGGGCTGTACTGTCCAAGTGCTTGATTGTGGCTATGCTGATGTTTAGATTTCGCTTGCGATTGATACTTTTGATAATCCGTCTCGAAAGCGGTCTCAATGCTCTCCAACTCGTTTTCGGCCTCTTGCACGCTCATACATGAAGAAGAATCATCTGTGGATACCCCAACGGTGGTAACAATAGCTTCCTCTAATATTGTTTTCATGTCTTCGGATGGCTGCTCTTGTTCTTGTTCCTGTTGCTGCTGCTGTAAATGCCGCTGCCTTTTGTCCTCCATGACTTAGCTGATTGAGTTTTGTATTATTGAATTTTTTATAGGTTTTATTAAAAAAAAAAAAAGGTTGAGTATTAAGCAACACGAATAATTATAAAGTTCATTAAAAGCAATTTTTTCAAATAAAAAGATTGTTACAGTTCAACTGTGAAAATGTATAAATAACATATTTGAAAAACTTCAAACTGTACTTGCTTTCGATGTGCATTCTCTATACAAAATTTACGCTCAATCAAATTCCAATATTTGAATATGCAATAATTAAATTGTTTTTAAAGAGTAATAATTCGTTATTAACGCTCTACATTTTTTTCTTTTAATTTGTAATAAAACTGGGGGTATTAGCTTTACGGTTATGTTTTATTTTTATTTTTCATTTTATCATGCTCGTTGGCAATAATTATGAGCGCATAGTGCAATAAATATTTTTGAGTTACATTATTACCCATTTATGCGTACTGTCATGTATATTTTAAATATATTATATATGTATGTATTTATGTTATGTTCATAATTAAAAAAAATATTTGCGTTTATTGGTTGATAGATCATAACATATCATCAGGTGACAAACTTTTAATACAGATTTTTTTTTACTTAAACTTGGAAGAGATGTCAATGATTCCTTAAAAAAAGTTAAATTATTATTAATAAATTTTTTAAATTTATAAGCTAATTCCACAAAAAATTTGCACAATTTTCTTACAAATTTAATGATGCCTTACATAAATGCTAATTCAAATTTACATTAAGAAATTATAAAATAAAAAGTTAATTTAGCCAATTGCAACGTTACGTATAAGCAATGTGCTGACACACGTACAAACATATTAAAACAGAATAATGGTTTTGAAAACTCGTTGCGTACAGTAGCGTGGGTTTGGCAAATACATACAATACTAATATACTAATATACTTTATAAATGAAAATAGCTTAGATTAGCATAAACGGCATTATAATTTAAGACTAACTTTAAAAACTGATACATGACAAATCGACATTATATAAATCTTTCAACTTAAGCGATTTTCGAATTAACATAAATTTATCTGAGCTTCGCAAATTGTTGTATATACTTATATACTTCTGTATTACAATGCAAATATTTCATTTCACTTATATGCCAAGTTGCTGCAGAGTGATTCATGTGAAATGCTAAGAAATATATATGAACTTTAGATCACTCTCCTATTAAATGTCGCGCATCTTTTCATCCAACTCAGTCTATTTCCGTAGTTGCGTTTAACTGGAAGTTATATATATTTTTTTGTATTTTTTTTTATGTTTTGTTCGCCACATTGCGTTAGCTTTATTATTTCTCATCCTTGTGAAACTCATCCATGCAAAGTTTGCAACTCCATGATCCTTCTGGTGGCGTAATCAATGGTGGCGACAAACAGTACATGTGATAGCCACGATCGCAATCGTCACAGAAGAGCAATTGGTCGTCATTGTCTGAAGTGCCACATATTGAACAATACTTGCATTCAATGCATTGCCAGCGATAGCGTTTTACGGAGATAATCATGTTCGGTGTAAATTGTAGGCAAGAAGGATGACCGGAACGGCCACAGTCGGAGCATGAGACTAATTCTTCCGGCAAGTTTGTCTTTTTATTCTCACGTTGATCACCCAAACAGAAATCGCAGTATGTAGATGGCGTTGCCACTTCCCGATCTGCACGTAATTTATTTTTCAAATCCTTCTTTATGCCGGCACCAGCCGCAACCGGTGTCGCAATATTTGCAGTCGCCGGCGTTGTTGGGGTACCGGTTGGTACTGCGGCTGCGCTTGTTACCCCCCCTGCACTACTTGTACTGGGAAGTGTGGTTGCACTGGCATCGGAATTAGCTGCAACAGCTGCACCCGTTTCTCCTATGGTTTTATCAAATGTTATGCCAGCACTTGGTGCATTGGTTGGTAATACAATTGCCGATTGTGAAGTTTCATCGTTTGTGCCTATTGGTGATGCTGAATTTGAATTGCTTGCTTCCATGCTTGAGGCGACAGCACTTGCTGCAGCGGCAACTGCAGCAGCCGCAGCAGCTGCTGCCGCGGCAGTGTTTGCGTTGTTGTTGCTGGCATTGCTGGCGCCGCCACGTCGACGACCACTGCCCTCACCATCCGCATTGTTGCGACGACGACTGCCTGCATTAATAAAAAATCACAAATTAGAATATTTTAAAGATAAAAGAAAAAACAAGATATTAATTTCCATGTCAAAACATGTACATACCGCCTCCTTTGCGTCCACGCTTTGGAGTCCCATCAACAGCTGCTGTACTTTTGCGTGCTGAGCGTGTACCACGTTTGCGCTTGCCGCGGCTGCTATACGACTCATCATAATCATTGTCCGATTCGAAGTCCTCCTCGAAGTCGTCAACATGGTGATAATGCGACATGTCGATATCCTCATGAAACCAATCTTTTTCGGGGTTAGCATGCGAATCCTTGCTGTCATTATCGCCTGAAGCACTCATGGAATTGCCATCAGCTGCGACGATAGCTACAATATTCACATATAATTTAAGTTAAAGGTATATTTTGAAAAATATTGATATCATATTAGTTTCATGGTGTTTGAATAAATAGTACAAACCTGCGCTTTCAGTTTGGAAATGATCGCGTCCTGAAGCATTGCCAGTGGATTGATGGTAGTGTGGCTCACGATACTGGTAAGCTCTATAGCTGTGATGATGATTGAGCAAGTATTGCCGTTTGGGTTTTCGCCAACGTGCCGAGGGATAAGTGTATATTTGGCCATCGCGGAAACCAGGCATACGTTGACGCTGCTTCATGAAAAGTGCGCAATGTGTTTGAGCAACACCAGTCTGCGGATCTAGAAATGGCATACGTAGCCGCCGTTCAATACACAGACGTGTATTAAAATTCTCACTATTTTCAAGTATCTCCTTGTAAGCTGAATCGTTTAGAAAATTCTGTATCTTTTCGAAGTTGTTAAGGTTCACAATTTCTATATCGGAAGCCATTGTCCCTTCTATCGCTTTATTTTATTCTTGTCAAAGTTGAATGGACTACTTTTACGTATGTATGTATGTATATACGTATCTGGATTGATGAGTTCGTTTACACAAATCGGACTGGCTGGCACAGATATCCAAGGTTGTTCAGCAGTACTTGCGTTGCTTCAATGTTTTATTAGTGCACTTTACAACACATTAAACGACGTAGCATTGGAATTTACAACAATACACAATAAAAAATACATTTTTCACAAATATTAAAATTACACCTTAATAAAAGCAAAAAATTCAGGTGCGTCTCTAACAAACCGAATACACAAAGAAAAGATACAAACAAGTTGCCACATCAGCACAAATAAAATAAATTCAGGATTTTAATTCATCGGGGCTAAATTAGTGCACATTTATTAAAGTTTTATTTTAAATAGATTTGCTGTACCATATTTAGCTCCTTATACTTTAATAACTTTTTGTATTCCTTTCTCAAATGAATTTGTTTTGTTGTTTTGTAATATTTGATAATCTAAAATTTCCATTAGGAATTTATTAGGATAAGAGAGAATTTACAACGGTAAGGTAACGCTCATCGCCAGTGTGTCATCCAATTGTGTATTTTGGGCGTGGAGAAGCGACAAAAACAATTTTGCTTTGAGTGAGGTTTTTATTTATTTCATCTTCATAACAATAAATTTAATCACAGTTTGCTATCAGTTTTTGTTAAGAATTTGCAATGGGAGCCAGTAATCGCACAACTCGTATAGCTGTTGGAATTTCCGCGATATCTTTTTTATTGTTCCTGATTGCTTTCGTTACACCGTACTGGCTGGTCACGGATGGTCGTATTGCAAATCCACGGTTTACAAATCTTGGACTTTGGGAAGTGTGTTTTAATAATTTCCAAGATATACATCGATTCTACGATACAGTTTTCAACGGATGCATGTGGGTTTTTGAAGAGGAGTATTACATTATCCACGATTTCTTACTGCCAAGTTTCTATGTTGCTGTACAAGTTTTTGCTACATTATGCTTCGTACTGTGCCTTTTTGCATTGCCACTAACATTAGGATTTTTGCGGACTTCCCGCGACGATGATCGTTATGTGGGCTTGCTACTATCCATTGGTACCTGCCAAGTGCTTGCTTCTATATTCGGTTTTATGGCAGTAGTAATATTCGGTGCAAAAGGAGACTCTCGTGATTGGATGCCAGGTTGGCAGAATAATGATATGGGTTGGTCATTTGCTCTAGCTGTAGTTGGTGGTGTTATGTTGCTACCTGCAGGCATATTATATATTGTTGAAGCACGCCGTGAACGTTATCGTCATTTAAACGAAATTAGTAACCGAGAGATAACTGAATATGAATCAGAAAGAAATGATGACTTTTATCAACAACAAGCGCAGCAATATTTTGCACCCGAGCCATCTAGACCTAGACGCCCACCACCAGGACAAAGTACTTCCGCTGCAGCCGCAGCAGCTGCTGCTCTGCCAGCTGGTGGTATTCAAACAGATATCTGAACAAATAAGCAGATATTGAAATTGAACAAGCACAAAAAGACAAATCTACAAAAGAGCATATCGAATATTTTTTATCTCAAATATCCGTCCATTTTTAGGGTACAAAGAAAAATGATAGCATCATAGCATTTCATGAATTATTTGTTTTTAGTTATTAATTAAAGTACTGTCAATTAAAAAAAATCTTTGTCGAGAGCTTTTATCAGTATGTAATATGTTAGTGTTTTATATTTTAAATTCGATATATACGATAAACCTTTTAATTTGTAGAATGATGTATTCGTAAATTATGATGTCTTTTATGTATAATTTTTACATAAGAATAATACATTTTTTACAGAAAATTTATATTTACACTTAATATATATTTGTTTTATTGTATTCCATGATGTAATTTACTCAATTCTTAGATACTAAATATTTGTAAAGTTAATTTTGCGCCATCGTTACTTACTCCACTCCCTGCAGAACAATTATTTATTCTTTAGTATTGAAAGGAATTTTCAAGCAACTAGTGAAATTTCAATGGTAAGCATTGCACGCATTAAGCTGAAATTTTAATAACTAAAAAGACTAGAAATCTCACAAGCTTCTTGCTTGTTGCGAGTTCATTGTGTATCTAGTTGACTTGGTATTCGCACACGATCCTTCCCGTTTATGTGCTCAGCACCTTTGCCATTAGTTGCAGCTTTTAACCAAATTGGATTTTGTTGATCGCTAGTCGCCGTCGTCTTTTCTACTATTACGAATAATTCTTTTTTGTTTGTGTCTAATTGTGCGCGCAGATATGATAATAAATCAGTCTCAACGCCTATACATTCAGGTTCCCGCAATTTCGAATCCAAATTATAATATTTATCATCGATACGGCGAATGGCTATCCAATGTCGTTTCTGCAATGGTAATGTGACAAACGCGAATTTGTAATCTGAAGGCACGTTAAGAATGAAACCAACAATGGCGTTCAAATCAATGCAGGACGGATCTCTAATCAATGGAGAAATTAATAACGAAATCAATAGAAGATATGTATATTATATAAAAATATTTCCGTGATTTACTTGCGCTTATCGAACCAAACAGCTTCGCAATTACGCATTTGAAGTGCCGTCATTATAACGTTAATATCATAATTGCCCAAACCCAATGGCGAACGATGTGGATTAATCCAAACATTAGGACTTAAATCGTTGCATATTTGATCCAATTGCTCTTTTGTATACGATTGTTGACCTAGAAGAGAACTTATTTTATATGGTTACGATGCGCATTATTGAATTGTTATTACCTTGGAAAAGATTGTTCAGCGTATGAAGCGCGCATAGTTGTCGCGTCTGCCTTTCATGATATATATTTGTTGGCATTGTGAGACTATCACCGTAGACTTAACGATACTTCGCCTGCAAATGCATTGATAAATTTGCTAATTTTTTAAATAAATAAAACTCTTTCAATTTCTTTTATTCCTAGCGTTTTAACTTCTATTTTTTTATTGTCTCGGTTTTTCTGATTGAGCCATTCATGAATTCCAACACAACTTTTTTTGATTTGCTATCATTCAAGAAGAAGAAAAATGTACCATTGTGAAATCTAGTGATGGAAGTGTTGTAAAACGTAGTGTACAGATTTAATATTTTTTAGAACTGATATTTTTAACCTAAGCCGATGGCAGATAGGTTTTTGTTGCGTTGCGAGACATTTCAAAATTTGTCAACAAATCAAAAATCGCGAATGCGTGACGTTGTTGCTATTAAAAAAAATTTCGTATATCAGAGAGAATAAATAATGTGAAGCAACGAAATGCACCCATTTGAGTTCCAGCAGTTCGTGGCCAAACCTTTCTACAACGAAAGAAATTATTTAATAGAATATAAAAATCAATATATCATTTGCATCAAGTAACTACATTTCTATTAGCTTTATTGATTGATTACCGTTAATCCGTTTGTAGAGGTTTTTGAGCTGACGTAGATGGTAGTGCATTTTGTTGGAATATATGCCAAATGACGCTCCATACTATCCGTAAAAATAACTGGAAACTTTCCGTTTATATTGCTCTACAAAATATCAAAATATATTCCAAAATTGTTCCAAATTCTCCATTATTTCTCTTTTTAAGAATCCACTAAATAAAAAATGCTGCTGTCAATTTTAAAACTCTGACAGCACTTTATCGCAATAGTCGAAGCTGTCATGTGATTATATTTTTCACCTGACTGACATTTTTCTTGGCGAATTTCTTCAACAGCAAATCGACGACGACTGAAAATTTGCAAGTTTTCCTTGTGGAAAATCATACGAGATTCGAAAAGAAAAATCAAATCCTACGTTTTCGAAGAAAGGCATTGAAGTACGTCAGCAAAAATGAAAATTTGTGGTCCAAAATTGTCGCTCTGCGGTTTGATTATCTCCGTCTGGGGAATCATACAATTGGTGAGTAAGCCTTCTATTTTTTATGTTAATATAATTTTATCATTTTGATAAGGATAAAATTACTAAATATATTTAAAGAAATTTAAAATGAGAATTTCGTTTTCTATTAAAATACATATTAATTTACAAAAAACGATGGATCAAACTCGAAAATTTTGCTAACACTTCTCTTTGTTTTAGGTGCTGATGGGTCTTTTCTTCTACATAAATAGTGTTGCGCTTATTGAGGATTTACCTATTGATGAAGAATTTAATTCAGTTGAAGAATTCTATACTGCTGCCACTAGTGCGTACAATCAGGTAGGGTATAATTAAAAGCATACAGTTGTGTGCATATTAATATATATAGTTTGCATATCAAACTACAGCAAAAAAGCACTCACGAGATTTCCGTTCGTGACCTTGATTAAATTAATACGTCAAAAGTCAATTGCTATCTAATATTGACATATGAAAACTTTTTTAATGTAAAATTTAGAGTAAATGAAAATATTAACTCTCAACTATTTCCTAGAACGCCTACAACTGTTGGATTGCCGCGTGCATCTATGTGCTTACGCTTCTATTAAGCGCACAACAATTCTATGTCAACAGCAGAGCAACTGCCAATTAAATTGGGGAAGGAACATCATGCAACAGTTCGCAGAATATGCAAACAAAAGTACATACCTTTTCATATACAAACACTTGTTAAGTTCGTTGGTTCGTTGACGTACTCCGGCCTAAGTTATAACTCCATCATCATGTGGCAGATTAAGCAAATGCAGGCTTTATCAAACCATATTCATGATCAAAAATATACCAACATAAATTATGATGACGTTAAGCAACAACAAATATATATTAAGAACATGTCTGCAGTAGCTGTTCCATCACCACTAAATCATCGGCGTGGTCGTCGTCGTCGCCGTTGTTGTTTATTAATATTATAATTTTTCATTAAGTAAGCGATGTCTGCAGTTAATCAATGCAAGAATATAATTTTAATAATCAACATTGAATAACTGTGCACATTATTTACATTTCCACCCATTGGCATTCGAATGACGATCTTTTTTTTTTTTTGGATAAAATCTCGTATGAAATTAACAAAATTCAGCTTCAGTTAAAACCAACAGTTTGTTACTAACTTTTCGTTCTTTAAAAATAATTTTCCCAAAACTTAACTGTAAACACATTCCATGATCGTCTCAGCGCTCTCAGTATGCCCGTTAACATTTTGATTTCAGCTGTATTACACACGCTTTGCTTTAGCTAAGCACATTAAAAGTATTTTTTTTTTCTTATATTTATTTGTATTTTTTTCGACGCTTAAGGAAATTCACTGGCAGTCAACCGCTTCAAAACTACTTCAGCGTATTTGTTCAAAAGTTCTTTTGGAAAGTCAACACTACTATATATTTTTTTTATAATACTGTTCAAATAAATGCACATTTTGTTTTTATAAAAAAAGAATAATTTCAGTCATGCTCCTCGATGTGTGTTTGTGTGGGTAAAAATTAAAATACGTTCTGATTAAAAAATGTGCATTTTATTCTTGATTTTATTATCTCTTCTTGTAAAAGTTAAATAAATCGTGTAAATTAGTTTAAAAAAATTATAAAACTACATATATATAGCAAAAAAAACAAAAAAAAAATAAATAAAATAAATAAACAAATTTATTAAACAGTTTTGAAAGATACATACATACTTACATAAAGCTAAAAAAGTTAACCGCTAAATCTGGTGGATAGTGTTGTTTGTATATCTTGAAATTTAAACCTCTATAAATAATGTGTATATTATTAAAACAAAAATATAATTTACATAATAAATAAAAAATAAAAAAAGTAAAAAATTTTGTGCCTGAATTCTTTGTGGGAGGAAGCGCGATTTTTAACACCGACCTTAGGGGTTTAGCTGTGACCTAGAACTTGTTGCTGCAGCAGGCAAACAACGTGTTTTGAAGAAGTGTGGTATCAATCTTATCGGCTGATTTTATCGACTTAGTATTAAGTGTGCCCGTTTGAAGGTCCGTCCGTCTTGTGTTTTGAAATTTTTGTGTTTTCATTATCATCGATTTTTAATAAAACAACTGTGTAAATGGATTTCGTGCATATTTATTTATTTTAAGACGTTCTTCGACTTGGATTATTTTAAATATATGTTTGTATACGTATGCATATATTTTAATACATAAGTATGTCATCATACACGTACATATCTATGTATATATATATTCGATAGATAATTAATAGGTATCTTTAGAAATACTACTATTTATAATTAAGCAGGTAATTTACATATTTACATACATATATGTATGTTTGTATATATCATTCGTATGAATTATTGTACATATAAATTTTTCAATAAATTTTGCATATGCATTTTTCAAGTTTATACATACATATATACATACATACGTATGTAGAAGTATATATACAATCGTATGTATAAGTGTACATAAATAAATATGTATTATTTTATATACCAAGTTTTTTTTTTTAAATTTTTTTTTAATTTTTGGTTTTAAGTTGTTTTTGCATAAACTTGCTTGCGCTGATTTTATATATTTACTACTTATAAATAAATAACTTATACTTTAACTATTTTATCTATATATATATGTGTATATATACATATAGCATGTACGTATTGCCAACATAACTGCATTTATTGCTCTTTAACTGCTATAACTATAAGTACAAAATATGCTTTACACAAAGGAAATTCTAAAAAAAAAATTACTTTTTTCGTTAAAAATTAAAAAAAATTCGAACTAATCGCACGTTTAAGCAAATTTTGAAGTTTCTTCACATTACATTTTTTTATTTATTTGTATAAAAAATATTAAGTCATTTCAATTAGTATTTATTATTATATTTATGTATTCGTATGTATTTATTTATAACTTTTATATATGTACATATGTTAATTTTTGTTGTTGTTAATTTTTTTATTGGTGTTATTAGCGCTTAGAATTGTGTATAATTATGTTTGCATGCAGGCATGTATAAGTATGTATATAATTGTTTATAATAAATATTTTATTTAGTTTATCCTTTCGAGTTTTTTTTTAAGAAATTTAAACGCAATTTATACATTTACATATATTATTCAGTATGTTTGCGTTTATTTCATACTATTTTTCGTTCATGTACGTTTTTTTTTGCAGAGCTAAATTATTTCCAATGATATGTTTGCTAAAATAATGTTAAATTTAAATAAAAATAGTTAAAAAAAAAATTAAATGTATTTAAAATAATTCTGTAATTTTGAAAATCTTTAAAATATAAGCAAAATTTTAAGATAAGTAAAAAGTTGAGTTTTTTAGGTTAATTCATATGCAGGCGCATATGGTTTACGCGCAAACATTTCAATTACATACAGTATTCATTATTTATAGATAAATATCTAAAATTAAAAAGCTTTCGTTACAGATTATTCCCTTCATTAAATTTTGTTTATTTTTTTTTTAAGCGGAATTTTGTTAGAATTTCATTGTTGCTGTAGGCATTTCGCATTCATTTTCTGCATATATGTATGCTTGTATATTAACATTATTTTTGATTTTTGAATTTTGTATATAGTATTTTAATTTTTTTTAATTTTTAATTTAATTTTTTAATATTTACTTATGTTTGCATATAATTGCTAGTCTCAAAATCTGTTTTTTTTTTTTGGTTTTGTTTTGGTTTTTAATTTTCATATATTAAGATTTATTTTTGTAAATTGTTTTGAATTGTTAGCTGTTTACTTTTTTTTAATATCAATCGAATTCCTGTTTGGGGTTGCTTTTGTAATTAAATATTGAAATATGTTTGTATGTACTTATATTTATGTATATTCATAATTCTGTTTGTATGTAATAAGTTGGGTTTTTATGATTTTAAGATTTTCTCAAAAATTTTCCGAAAAATGCCTTTACTTCAACGCTACACCTCACTGTTCGCTTAATTTAATTTTTACTCCGTGAATTTGCACAAATTTATTCGCTCCTGATTGCGGCTCGAACTTCGAGAAGATTTTCGATTGAGCGGTTCCAAATATGCCGCTGGTGTCCAACCTTCTGCATTGGCTTCTGTTGAAAGGTGTAAATGAATAAATGAAGAAAAAAAGAAACACTTATTAAAAATTTGTTTAAAATTAAGTAATTTTTTTTTAATTTATATAAAAATTCTTCTCAAAAGATTATTTTTTATTTTTTTTTCCAAAGAAAAAATTATTTACATTTTTTTCCAAAAAAAAAAAAAATGGTTTAAATTTTTTTCCAAAAAAAAAAATGGTTTAAATTTTTTTCCAAAAAAAAAAAATGGTTTAAATTTTTTTCCAAAAAAAAAAAAAAAAATTTTGAAATTTTTTATAAAAAAAAAATGGCTCAAATTTTTTTCCAAAAAAAATCGTTTAAATTTTTTTCCAAAAAAATTGTTTAAATTTTTTTCCAAAAAAAATCGTTTAAATTTTTTTCCAAAAAAATTGCTTAAATTTTTTTCCAAAAAATTTTTTAAAATTTTGTTTCAAAAAAAAATTGTCTAAATTTTTTTTCCAAAAAAAATTGTTTAAATTTTTTTCCAAAAAAAAAAATTTTTTTTTTGAAATTAAAAAAAAAAATCATAATTTCTGCTATAAATTAATTACAACTACTTAAAAATATAGCTTATCAATAATAAATACTATTTATTAATACTTAATAATTAATTTAGTAATTTCCTAAATTATTTGGTACCAACACCAGCGGTGATTTTCAAGCTAAAAAAAAAATATAATAATAATCTAAATTGCTTTAAAAAAATTTCTGTGCATTAAAATCTACGCTTTATGCAAATAAATACATATAGTCTAATGTACGAGTATATACATACATATATATTTACAATAATTATTTATATGCAAGAAATTACCTAAAACACGCACAAACCACCAGCCGGCACAGCCCACCTTCAACAATTCAACCGTATCACCTTCACGCATCGACACCTCCGAGTGTCCCATGGCCGCATAATCGGCAAGGGCAACAAATTTACTGCCCTAAAATTACAGGATTAACTAATTTTTTTTTTTTACAAGTATTTGCCGAAAATGTACAAAATTAGTGAAAATGAATATTTTGCACTTATGCGCTATTTGATATAAGCAAAATTGCATTTTTGATAAATTTTACTTTTATTTTTTTTTTAATTTTTGTGAATTTTAGCATTTATTTGTAAAAATATTATTTACAAAATTCTTTGGCTAAAATATTTTTTATTTTTTAAAATAATTTTTTTTTAATTTAAAAAAAAATTTTTTTTGCCTAATTTGGAAAGTTAGCGAAAGAATTTTTTTGCAAAAAAAAAAATTTAAACAAATGCATTTGTGTTATTAACAAAAAAGCGTTTCTTCAAACAACTATTTTATATATTTTTTATTTAAAAAAAAAACTACTTCTATATGCATGTAGGTATGTAAGTCAAACAAGAAACGTTCAAAATGCTTTTTAAATTTATATGTATGTATGTTTAGGTAAATATGTATGCAACTATGCAAAATGGGCAATAAACTTGCGCTTAAGCAAACATATGCACATAGACAGTACATATGTATGTATACAAATAATAAGTTACATTAAGCAGTATTTAAAAGCGCGCAAAAAATAATTTTCAACTCAAAAATTAATTAACGGTATTTTTAAAGCATATCCTCATACACATAATAGCATGGCTAAAAACTTTTTATTTTATTTCTTTTAATTGTTTTGTTTTGTTTTTTTTTCTCATCAAAAAAGTAACGAAAATATACACATACATATATATATATATATAAACAATGAAATTCAACTAAAATTTGTGTATAAAATTGAATTTAATTTTTAATTGAACGAAATCTAAAAGCAAAATTTATGCACTCGAGGTTTTTGTGTGTGAGATGTTTGCATGTACATATGTGTGTGTGAAGGCTGGTTTTGTTGCTTTTATTGTGCTGTGAGGTGAGGAGGGCTTGTGCTTGTGCTTGTTTATATGTATGTATGTACGAGTATATGTGATAGGTGCGAGTTGGTGATGCATATTTCAAATTGTTGAATTTGTAAGTGATTTTTTCATTATTTCATTTTTTATTTATTTTTATTTGATAGCATATTCGCTCGAAAAAAATAAAAAAATAAAAAATTCAATTGCAGTAAATTTATAAATAAATACTGCAGAGAAAATATAAAAAATATAAGCGATTTTTTCTCCTTTGGAAAATAAATTATTTAATTAAAAATCTTAAAAAAAAAATTCCGTTGGCTATGAAACTACACCAACAAATGCTATTTCTGCACGACCAAGTGCACCCTGTACTATTTCCTCTGCGAGATGCGATAACCAGTCATATGGAGTCTCTCGTAACGCCTGGCAGAGGGTAAGTTTGTGTGGGCTAACAGAAAGCTTCCGAAAATTGTCATTAGATTTGCTCGCGCTGAATTTTTTTTGTTAAGTTGGTAGCGCTGTCCTTAATTAGTATGCCAAAAAGGTTCGCGTTCTGTCAACCGGTTTGTTTGCAGCAGCCATTGAAATCAGTCGACCTCAGTTCCCCCTGCGAGTTTTCGTTTACGGCTTCTATCCAGTTGAAACGGGTTCCTTGAGTTTTGGAAAGAAAAAAAGGGCGCATGAGGGTCAAATCCAGTGAATAAAGGTGGTTGATCGATGGTATTGAACGGTCTTAAATCGTGCACAACTACAGTTCGATGCGCTGGCGCATATTCGTCTTGAAGGTTTCCTGAAATTGTTGGCTCCCACAATTCCGACCGCTTGTGACGGATGCCTTCGGACGCCTCAAAATATTCAAATAATACTCTTTATTGACTGTCTGTCCCGCTGGAACGAATTCATGACGAACCTATCGCGAATATCGAGTTGAACTTCTATGGTTCATCGGCGAAGCAGCAGAAGTCTTGTTGCTGTATTAGTTTAGTATTTGTAAGGGAAATTATTCTTTTTATGGCGTGTTTTTCTAGCCAAAGCTGCTTAGTTTGCTTCATGGTGAGGATATCCTCTAGACAAGAATGGAGAAAAGATTTTGCTGGTCTAAATACCAGCAAACTAGGCTCCGGTGTAGGGGTGGGAGTGTGCTCCGAAGATAATAAAATCTCTATTTCTTTATGTCTACCGAACATTTAGAATCCTCCAATCAAAGTACTGGGTATTAAAAGGTTTACAGAGCGCTAAGGAATTACTACGGGAGAATAAAGGACGCAATTACAATATATCATCGAATCGCTAAAGAGCATGTTGACCTAATCATATATACAATTGGCGCTTTGTAACCACTGAAGCGGTTTTTGGCCCGATCTCCTTCACCAATTTGAGGTTTTCGGCCTAGATGTTATTCCAACATATGGAGGTACCAACAGTTTATACTAAGTCGCCTCCGAACGGCTGATGGTTTTTTTACGAGGAGCCTTTATTTCATGTCCCAAATACACTCGGAGGCGTGGACATTCCCTGCCGAGGGGCGACGCAATAAGAAAATTGGACTTAATTTTTTATTTAAATTAATTTTCCATAACGTTTGGATGTCAGTACGCAATTCTGACCACTAGGCTACCGCGGCCACCTTATCATCACCAAAGATAGAAACAGGTGTCGTTAACAATTGTAGAAAGGTTCTAAGCTCGCTGGCAGATGAACTCGACTTCTCCATAAGAATATTTTCAATAAGGAAAAGGCTGATGATCGTAAGGAACGATCAAAAGACAGCTTCTCTTGCAGATGGTAGTCTATATCCAAATGTAGAGTAATGAAGCAGATTTGGCCCAAGTATAATAGGACAATAACAAAGACCTATTAAACAGCGCAAGGAAAAGTATATACACGTATAGACTTACAGCCGGAATAACGGGTAACTGCTCCGTCGGAATGCAAGATTAAAAATGGCCCTTCCCTATAACAGCAGATGCCCTAGCTGCGAGTTAGTCGGGAATGGAAAAACAACTATTCATTATCGCTGAGAGTGACCAGCTCTCGCACAAATTCTCCACAGAACACTGGACTTCTTGACCAAGTGCATAGTTGTTGGGCGCAAATAATGCTTTGTACGAGCACCTGGTACGCATCTACATATTACATAAGCGCTGCCTTCTTAGATGTCATGTCGAAAATTTCAGCTTCCACGATGAAGCTGCACAGATTTCGGCGTAAAAAATCGATCGAGCTACTTAATTGTTACCGGATGGAAAGACTCGAAACCAAATCGATCATGCTATCATAGGAGAAAGGAAGACACGTATCCAGTGTTTAAAATAAGCGTGCGCTCCGTGGTTCTACAATTGATTCGGATCACATGTGTGCACAAGCATAAGCAAGATTCGAAGGAGGCAAGCAGCAATAAACCAAGTGGCTTCCTATCCGACTTGCAGTCCTGCTCTCAGAGAGCACGCTTCAACAAGTTCTATATGGAACCTGATCAGGTACTGTCATTGTCATATAATATGTGAGACTCACGCTTCGAATGAACATACGTAAGCGAACTAGTATTTAACTAGTGTGATGCTGAAGAGAGACTGGGCAATGGAAAAATTCCTTACATAGGATGGCGCTGGAAGAAATGCTAACTATTGTAAAATTCAAAATTAGTAACATTCTAATTTGAAATTGAATTGCAAAACTCGGTGTAGGAAAATAACGCAACGTTGCGATCGTCTGGAAAGGCTCTAGAGAAGAAACGACTGGTGTTTCAACGTAGATTGGGTTATAAATCCGTTAGCTGCAACCAAAAGAAGAAAGATATCTATATCTAATTTAGTAAAAAGAAATCCACTATTTTTGAATTGGATAGCTTTAGTGATCTGTATCTATAAGTGCGATTGGATTACGCTTGTACTGTAATTCTGATGTAAAAGATGCTCCACGGCGAGGATAAAACAATGAAAATTCTCGAGTCTGACCCTTGCACAATCACTGTATTGCTTGCTCAAGAGCTAAAGATTGCAAAAAAATCAGTTTTAAGCCACTTGAAAAAGTCTGGATACACAAAGAAGCTCGACGTATGCGTGTCACATGAGTTAACGCGAAAAGACCTCATGGACCAAGTCTCAATTTGCAAATCCCTGCTGAACCGTAACAAAATCGAAGAAAGAAAATGAATCACTTATAGCAACATTAAAAAAAAAACAGTGTTGGTCGAGGAGAATGTACCGGCACATGCTAAGACTGACGACCAGAAAGGTTTTCTGCTGTGTTTGTTGTGATTGCCAAGAAATCATTTTCTATGAGCTGCTCACTTACGGTCAAACTTTTAATTCGGAGCTGCACTGTGAGCAATTGGACTGTCTGATCGGAGCCATTAACCAGAAGTGGCCATCTATGGCCAATAGGAGAAGAATTGTGTTCAATCTGGAAAACATCAGATCACACACTTTCATAGAGACTCGCCAGAAGCTCCGTGAACTTGGTGGGGCGGTTCTTAGGCATCCACCTTATAGTCCAAACAATGACCAAGTGATTATCATCTCTTGCTGTCTATGGCGAACGATTTGGTTGGTGAAGAATTGTCCTCAAGAGAAGCCTGTAAAATCGATTGTAGATATTTTTTGCTACTAATGGCAAGGGTAGCTTAAATAATGGCCAAAATTTATCGAGTAAAGCTATTAGTATTTCTTATAAAACCAAAAATTGTAACCATGATAAATAAAGCTTTCTATTTTATGCAAAAAATAATGGATTACTTTATACTAGACCGAAGTTTTTAAGGTTATAAATAATAAAAAAATATTATTTAACTGAAAAGTATATATTTTATATGCGGCTTTGCCTCTTTTAATGCAGATCAAGTGAGCGTTTTTTATTTTTTATTGAAATTACTTGGGTGTAGTTGTAATTCTCGTGCTTGAATGTGATTGTAGCTATGCAAACCACTCCAGCTTGTAGCCCTTCAACTCTTCCATACTTTTCATATTGAGAAATTTTTTAGAATTTTTTTTAGAAATATTCAAGTTCAATACGCTGTAAGTGATTAGTTGAGGAAATTGCAATGATTTTTTTTTTTTTTTTTAATTTTTTATGTAGTGTTGGTGCATTTCGTTCCGTATCAAAGACATGTGAGACCGAATTCTTTGTGGCTTGCTTTTTCGTTCCTTAAGTAAAAAGTTAAAAATTCTAAAGCGTGAAATTTTGAATTTTGTATTTTTGTGTAGTAGTTCTTATTTTGTTGTGAGTACAACAAACACATTTTCCTTATTTTGTTTTTTGTGGTCGGTAACATTGCTATTTTGTTTGTATGTATGTATGTATGTAACTAATTTATTAAAATTATTTATGGAATTTTATTTAAGAAAAATAAACTTACGCAATAATTAACTGACAGACTGCTTCCATTATTTTGTTGTTGTTTTTTTTTTACGTAGTTTATTACAATTCATATATGTATGTACGTTATACATTATATAAGATTATGTATGTATGCACGTATATTATGAATGATGTTGTTTGTATATATGCAATAACGGTTGATGACGAAGACGACAACGTAACGCATATGAGCATTCGATGAGTTTGATTCACGGCGAATGAGTAGTCGAGGAAGCAAGAGAAAGAGAGCGATAGCGATATTGAGAGTGAGACAGAAGACGAGCAGGTATTCATTGAAGACGCTTGTACAACGAACAGTTCTATATACACGTATATGTATGTATACGAAACAAATACACATACAAACAAACACACACGTGCGTGAAAGAGAGGAAATATATAGAGAAGAGAAGTGAGTATGAATTTTAGGTAAAAGTACAAGCAGTTAAATGAGTTCAAACTGTTTAAGAGAGAGAGCGTATGTTGAGAGAGTGGGCTGTGGGTTGTGGGTTGTGCTTGTGCAAGTGGGAGAAATTAAAGAGCATATGTGCCTGTGTTGTATGAAATGAAGAATGTGTTGAGAATTGCAGAAAATTTGATTTTTATGCATTTTCTTAAACGAGCTCGGGGTTCTCTCAAAGTATCTACGCAGTTGTGATGTCTAAATTAATTGAATGTTATAAATTTGTGACACTGTTTTTTAATGCATTTGGAGCGTACGATATACGATATAATTTTTAAGATAATGTTAATATAAAATTTATGATTTCTGAGACTTCAATGACAGTTTTTGTTTTCCATGATCTCTCATTTAACTTCTTCCACTTAGCTATGCAGTGGTGATGTAGATTTTTCGTTAACTTTATAATTTATTGGATGAAAGGGATTTTCGGTGACTCTACTACAGTTTTCTCGGATATATTTTGCACTAAATTTTACGTACTTTTTTATGACTGCATCTCACTAATTACACTACGAAATGTGATTTTGTACTATAAGTGAAGCGATTTATTTATACTTGACAATTGCTTGTTTTTCTTAACGATTTTTGGTATTTCGTACTTTGTTATTTTAGTTTTAGGTGCTGTGTAGTTTTTCCATTTTACTTTCGCTGCTTGTTTTTTTTCACTTTTTTAAACCTTCATGCTTAGCTACTCAGTGCTCTACGGACACGTAGAATTTTGAATTTGATTTACTGCTACGCGGATATGAGCCACCACCATTACCATCGGCGTTGTAGGTCCACTGAGCCAGGAAGTTCATAAAACGCTGTGTGGATTTTTTGATGGCATTTTATTAATATTTTAATTATTTTTTATAATATTTATTTGTTTTTAATTCATTTTATTTGCATTTATTTTATTTAAATTTGATTGGATTTTTCGTTGTAATTTATTAAATTTGGTGGTTTAATTTAATAATTTTTAAATTTTTATTTTTATTTATATTTATTTCATTTAGTTCATTTTGTATTTAAAAATTTTATTTTATTTTATTTTATATTATTTTATTTTATTTCATTTTATTTCATTTTATTTTATTTTATTTTAGTTTATTTAATTTTTTTAATTAATTTTTATTTATTTAATTTTATTATTAATTATATTGGTTTAATTTATGATTTTAGTGTTATTTTAAAACACATTTTTTAATTAAATAATAATTTTGAATCAATATTCGACACATATATTTATATATATTTTTTGTGCATTTAAAATTTGCATTTGATATACAAAACATTTGTATGTACAATTTTACAAATCACACGACACCATTTTTTATGTTCATTTGTACAGGGTTGCATTTTAAAATTGCAGTTTTGGGGATATTGGTTTATTTAATTTTTTTTTAAGACAAAGTGTTTTGTGCATGAAAGTAAAAAAGAGAACCCAAAAAAATTAAATAAGACAAATAATATAAAACATATAGTAGAAGGAACTATGTATGTATGTATGTATGTATGTAACATGGTGGATGAATATGCGAATAAAACAACAATAATTAATTTTAACAAATAAAACGAAAGCAAGAAGAATTGAAAGAAAAACAAAAAAAACGTACAAATTTACATGAAGTAAATAAATATTACATATGAGATTGTAAATTTAAAATAATAATAAAAAATAAATTAAACAAAATATACAACCAAAACCAAAACTATAAAATAATACGATAAATTTAAAAATAAAAAATAAAAATAGAAATATAAAATACTAATTTAAAAAATTATAACAACTCCACGCCTTTCCAAAAATGTATTTGCAAGTTTTAAAATTGTTGTATTTGTAGTTTTTAAATAAAATTTTAAATAAAAAAATGAAGAAGAATAATACTTCACACCCTTTCAAGGTCATGGTCGAAACCTCTGTAACTTACCGGCGCGCTATTGTCCTCGATTATCGACATTTCATCTTCGCTATTCGAGTAATCTGAGCTCCAGCCACATGCCTCCTGTTGCTCCTTATCCGCGCCCGCACCACCACCATTGCCATGAACATGCGCGTGACCATTGCCCGATGTTGCGGGGGGTGGTGGCATGCCATGTGGGTAGGCGTCATCCCCGCTACTGCTGCAGTTAGAATTACGATTCGATGACTCGGAGGACGCGTCGCAGCTGACGGCGCGCTGTGGCATACCGAGCAAAATATTGGGCGTATCCCATGAGGTGGTCTGTCGTAGGCCGTGATGATTCATGCCATACTGTTTGATTTTCTCACCCTTCAACTCCTCCAGCTGGTTGAGTAGCAGGCGTTTGATTTCGGTGACCCATTTATTTTTCACTTCATCGGTAGGCGCCTGTATTGTGTGCACTTCCTGGCGGCCTTGCAGCCAGACTTCGAAGCGAGTTGAGTCGCCACGCACCGACTCGGTGAGACCAATTTGTGACATCTACGAAAGAGCAGTTATTAGGGGAGAGATATAATAGTTAAGTGCATTGAAGAGTGTGCATAAATGGATGAAAGCGTGAGAGAGTGAATGCTGAGAGAGGGAAACATGCGAAAAGTCTCTACTTACCTTAAGTTGATGTTTAAACTGATAGGTGCTTTTATTGTGACCCGGTTTGGAGGTTTTCTTGCAGAAAATCATAGACTTTTGGTAGAGAAATATGTGCCGTTGTTGCGGTTTCTTACGCAGCCTCAAATCCTTCTTCGACTCAGTCCACACTTGGAAGGGATCCTGCAGCAGTAGCTCGCCTTGTTGCGATAGGTTGCTCTACATTGTGGAAGTATGAAAATTAGAATTAAAATTACTACAAAAGTTTATCTGGTTTACAAATACTTACTGGAAATCCCGTTATAGCCACTTGATGCATCGAATCGTTGACACAACGCAACACGATCAACATACAATCTAAAGCCTTTTGTAATTCTTTGGTACAGCTGCCACTATCACTGGAGCCGAGCAGATTTTCGAGCAACAATTTGTACTTGGTAATACGCTGCACTGGCTTCAGCAGATACGCGCCCAATGGCAGCTTGTGACCCAAACGTTTCTGACATTCTTGCAGAAAGAGATGGGTGTCGACGAGCGTTTCACGCAAACGATCCGATCGTGGTATATTTTGGCAGTAGAAGGAGTAGAGGCGATAGAAGGTGTCGCGCTGAAAGAGAAATAAAGTGAGCTTACACTACACTTAATCTGGTATCGAGTATCGGATATGTTGACGGGAAAGTTATGGGATAGCACACAGTACTCTTGAGCAGAAATTATTCATTTAAAGTTTCTTGCTTTCTTTTTTCTATTCTCAGGCACTCTGAAGTTAAGTCATTGTCTCACTCACCCTTTGCACAAAGCATAACGCCACTAATTCCGTTGTGGATATACAGTTTTCCAGATCCTTCAGGAAGATCTCATTGTGAAATGTATATAATTCGTGTAAATTGCCAAACAAAATATCCTCTTTGCCCTGCAGGCTGGCGGGTACAAGATGCATCATTTCTTCAGATAGCATTTGATCACGATAGCCCTGGAAATGGAAAAACGCAAAAAACACAAATGTTGAAATTAAGAGCTCCATATGGAAGAGGTTAGAAGAAAAATCAAATTAAATAAAAAATAATGCGAAATTTTCAAAAAAAATCTGTGGGACTGGTAAAAAAATTACGATTTTTTTAAAGGTAATATTAATTATAAAAAACTCATTTTTATTATTGATATTAATTGAAATATTTTATAACAAATTAAAATTAATTTAAAATAAATAAATTAATTAAAATAGTTTTAAATAAAATTATATATTTTTTATATTTAATTATAACTATAAGTATACTTGTTTCCCTAGGCCTCGTAGAAAATTGTAAAAAAAATAAATAAATTTATTACTTGCATCACATTTAAATAAAATGTTTATTGTAAAGGCTAAAAAATGCAGAAAGTTTGTAAATAACAAATTTTATAAAAATAAAAGCGCAAAAGAATGATTGTCTTAAATAATTTTTTTCCAAATAAAAAATAAAAACTAAATTAAAGAAATAACTAAAATACAGAAAAAAATAATAATTTCTTCTTCTAGCTAAAAGAATAACAATAAATATTTTAAAAACAAAAAAGTAAATTTGTATTCCAAGTAGAGTAATATGCTTTCTTTAAATAAAAAAATTATGTTATATATGAAAAAATTCCATGAAATTTTTTATCATCAAAATGCAAAAGAAAAATTCTTTCTAAAATCTTCTTCGAAAAAAAACAGTTATTTTTTGAAACTAAATAAAAAAATTCATATTCACTTAGGCCGTTTTTCCTTGTTGTAAAACAAAAATATTCAATTCACAAACAAATTGGTCTTTTGCTCACTAAAAACTTATAACAAAAACCAATTAAAAATTTTGAATAAATAGTTTTTATTTTTTTTTCGAAAATTTTAAAATTTAATTTAATTTTAAATTTTAAAATTTTCCAATTTAATACAAAAAACTTATACATAAAATTCTTTTCCAATTTAAAGTAGCAACCTTTTCCTTTTAAAACTTTTGCAATAAAGTGAAAATATATTTCTATAAAATAGAATAATAACAACAAAAATTAAATATTTTTTATTAAAAATAAAAAAAACTTCCTTATAATTTTTTTTTTAAATAGAAGGAAAATTTAACGGACTTTTATAATTAAAATAAAAAATATATTTAAAAAATCTTTTTCCTAAGCACAGTAAAAATTGATTTTCTTTATATTAAAATAAAATGAAATGAAATTTTTTAAATTAAAAAAAAATTCTCTCAAATTGATAAAAAATTCTAAATAAAATAGAAAAAAAATTAATCGACATTATTTATAATTTAAATTAAAAAAATGCTTTTTAAAAATTTAATTTCATATAAAGTAATGATATGTTTTCTTGAAATTAAATACGCATAAAAAATAATCGAAGTTAAAAAAAAATTTTTTCACATTAAATTTGAAAAAAGAATAAGCTACATATTTTATAAATAAAGTAAAATATTATTTTTAAAATTTTACTTTAAAATATAGTAAAAAAAACTTTTTCTTTAAAATATAAAATAAATAAAACTTTTTATTTAAACACAAAATACAGCAATATGATTTTTTCTTTAAATAAAAAAATCAACAAAATTTTTTAATTGAATCAAAGAGTTATCCTTAAAATTTCTTTAAAAAAAATAATTAATGATTAATCGACTTTTTCATATTTTTCTAGTAAAAAATATAGTTTTAATTAGAAAAGGAAGAAAAAATAATTGGACTTTTTAATTAGAAAAAGAAGAAAAAATAATTGGACTTTTGAATTAAAAAATATATTTTTCCTACAGTACTTTTTTAAGATAAAAAAAAATTAATTGAAAATCAAACAATTTCACAATTTTTCTTCAAAAAATAATTAGAAAAATAAAAAAAAAATTAATCCACATTTTTTATGATTAAAATTTAAAATATTTTCTTTTTAGTAACATATTTTTCAAAAAAGCTATAAAGCTATTATTTATTATTATTCTGGAAGTTAAATAAATGAAGTGCTAAATCAGTCTTTTTTATAGCTAAAAAGTCGAAATTTCCCATCACTAAATACAAGCAAAATTTTTGAAATCTCCAAAATGAAATGATTTCAACGAAACTTTTTTAAATTAAAGCGAAAAATTTTTTTTATTAAATTAAATATAATTTGATTTAATAGTTTTTAATTGAGATTCATAAAATAGTAATATTTTCTTTTAAATATTTTGATTAATAATAACACATTTTTGTATCAAAACTTTGCCCGACTTTCCCTACACATTCACTTTACCACTTTTATATTTTCTTCCACATTTCCCTGCCTTTCCACATTCCGCTTGCCGAATTCAGAACGAAATAACTGCCCGAACTTCGCCTGCACATAGTCTTCAACATTACGATATCCTTGTGCGCCCACAAACTCGCTTAACACACGATCGTAATTCGCTTGTTTGAATTTGGTGCTCGTTTTAAACTTCGGCAAATCGAAACCAGATTTCGTCTGTAAACTTTCAGCAAAAAACTCTTGACAAAATTTCAAAATCTCGCTATAAGAATTGGTGAAAAAGTTTTGGGTTTCCTCATGTGGGGAAGTTGTTTGTTTGCCGGCACTTTCGTTTGTGAGATTATTCGACGTCGTTGTCGCAGTGGTGGTGTTTTGGCCACGTGACGACGGTGACCATTTGAGCGCCTCATTGCAGTCGACACTGGTGCGGCAGGAATGACAGAGCTGTGCTTTAAACATCCAAGCATCGTGATCGTTGAAACGTAAGGACTTGGGTGTGGCCAATAATTTTGAGCGATTAAGTGTATGTTTGCTCAGCGCCGATTGGGCACGCGCAACCGAAGACGAGATCGACGTGAGACTACGCGGCTGCGTTTCATCTAAGTAATCCAGGATGTCGTTGTAGTTTTTGCGTTGCAAATAATCCTTAAACTCGGAATCGTTTTCGATTTCCGAGTAGGTGTTGTACTCCAAATAGTCCTTGACCAGACGATATTCGAGCGACTCGTCGCAGCTGGAGAGTTCGATGAGCTCTTTAAATATCGTCTTACGTTCGTTTTTCAAACGCTCCAAACTATTCGCAACAATGGCGCTATCGCTTAAACTCTGATGCGCTTCGAGCTCCTTGAATGTGTTTATAATTTTTATAGTCGATTTGCCGTTTAGCAAGTTATGCGCTGAGAAATTACACAAATTCGTACCGAAGATATAGTTTTGTGCTGAATTATTGTCCGTTGAACGACTTTCGTCGGTGGTTGAACGACCGAAGTGGTTGGTACGCGCGTCGCTGGCTTTGTAACGTATGCTGTACGTACTGGTCGTGGGTGTGGCACGATAACTGCCAGCACTGCCGTGTTGCTCGAACAGGGAACCGCGAAAGGACACAGGTGACTCGCAGAAATGCGTACGCTGGCGTTGTAAATGTTTGAGGGAATCGCTGATTTTCAAATTGAAGCGTCCAACGATGTTACAAGCCGTGTTCTGTACTTTCTTCAGTCGCAGTGAGCCGTGCGATGAGGGCGATTTCGATTTCGATGCCTTACGTAGATCGTAACCGCCGTAACGCATATTTTGGCAAGGCACAAATTGCTTTTGTTTTGAGAATTCTTTTGAGAATTTTGTAGATTTGTAAAAAAAACACTTTGGTTTTGAAAACGATTTTTGAAATTTAGAAGCTGAAATTTTTCACACGACTCGACTGCTCGACAGCTAAACGCTTTATGAGTTGAAGTTCTGCGCTAAAAATCTTAGATCTTGAAATTATGAGCCTCTACAAATACTATTCTGCTTCTTCTTCGTCTTCGCTCACTTTAAGTGAATTCTACTAGCGAATTGCTCGTGGCAAGTGGGAAATTAAGCTTATATTTTAATGCACTAATTGCAGTCGGAGGCATTCAACCGTTGCAAAAGCAGTTAGCGGCTGCAGGTTGAGTCAGCTGCTGCAGAAGTTACTTGAGTTTGAATCATATTTAGTTTATATTTCATTGCAATTTTTTGTGTACTGTCGAGTTACCGTTAAAATTGTAATCTTTTCCGCCCACTTCTTTTCCTTATACTCGACCAAGCGTTGGCTGACTATTCGGTGTTATGGCTCTAGGTATTGACCAATTGATTGCATGTTCTATGGTCATGGCCATGATTTTCCGTCTTGTTTGTTACGCTAACCGCCACATAATCGGTTATAATCCCCAATAGCATATTTATTTATATAAAAACAACTGAATGTAACTGTATACTGCTTATAAACATGGTTCCGATTGGTAAATGATACTTCATATATTGTGTTACCGTAATTAATTAGTGATTTTGCGATGACTGTGTTTCTTACCTTTAAAATAGAGGCCATTTCATTTACATAGATCCTTTCGGTCTCCAATAGCTCGGTGAGTACATGACCTCGGTGTATGCGCCTCGCTTCGGCGTCCTGTTGATAAAAATAATAAATATACCGTATATTAAGTTAGTATTGATAGCTATAGATGGCTTTAGTCATCTGTATCTTGCGTTGCGTAACGCCAGATGCCTCTAGAGAGATGATATTTTGTACTAAAAAAGACAATGGCTGAGGAGTTGATTACTCAACTCAGTACTGTTCGAGTACATGTTAAAGATGTTCACCAGTGAAGAGAAAGTACGCTATATTCTAAAATCTTTCTTCGATAGTGGGGGAAAACTTAAGTCAGCCAGCCAAATATCTGAATGGAGTTTATGAGCTTGGTACCGTAACAGTCGATTTCGTTCAGGTAATTTTGATAAAATAAATACTACACGGCTTGGAAGGTCAATTGTCGAAAATGTCGATAAAATAATGGAAATCCTCGAGTCTGACTCTCATGCATGACTATTCCGATTGCACTGGAGCTAAAAATTATATGAAAAACAAAGTTGGTGATGAAAAGTGGGTCGCTTACAACAACTTCAAACTAATATGGTTGGGGTCGAGGAACGGTCTCCAAGCCAGAATTGACGGCAAGGAAGGTTTTGGTGCGTGTTTCGTGGAATTGGCCAGGAATCATCCACAATGAGTTGCTCCCTTACGGACTAACTCTTAAATCACACCTGTACTGTCAGCGATTGGACCGTCTGCAGAAAGCAAACGCCCAGAAGCGGTCGGCTTAGGCCAATAGGGGTGGAATTGTGTTTCATCAGGATAACGGCAGACAAGATATAACAAAAAGGACTCGCCAGAAGCTCAGGGTGATTGATTGACAGGTTCTTATGCATACCGCTTATAGCCCGGACACCAAGTGACTACCATCTATTCCTGCCTATGGTGAATGATTGGGCTGATGAAGAATTCGCGTCAATAGTCACTCTTGCAATATTTCTTGCTAACCAATTTAGGGAATATTTTTTACACAAATAAATCTACATATTGGCTCTGTCTTAGCTTTTTTTTAACAACCTGACACTCTGGCGCTTTCAACTTGAACCCGAAAATCTTCGAAAATTTTCAACGTCGTGGCCACAGCTACTAAACGAATTTTATTTGTTTCGCTCTAGTCACAGACAGCTCTTTTGCTTTTGATAGGACTGCATTGAAAAAATGTATTGATATACATTTGAGTGATCTACTTTGAGCTTCTTTGCCAATTACAATGAGTCCTGAGCTTGTTGTATAGCTCTTGTCATTAACAAGTCATTGGTTTCAGAGGGCACAGTTCATAAAACACTATTTCAGTTTCTCAGAAAATAGTTTCTGTACATAATCACTCTTTAGTTCCTCATTGATTTGCTTAAAAACCTGGGAAATCGTACTAAGGTCCGGCATGGATTGAAGCTATGACAAAAATCACTGCTAATCCATCTTTGCGGAAATTAAATGTATCGAGATTTAACAAATAAGTGCCCTATTTCTGCTCTTCCAAAACATAATTCAAGAACTCAATATACGAGAGTTTCCGTTAAGCCTTTGGTGCGAAAAGACTATACGAAATTCTGCTGGCACAAGGACGCAATTGATGTGTGGCCTTAATAAAGTACCTGTGATATGCCATCTTACTAATTCGGATCTGCAAAGATCAAACATAAACTGAATAGTAAAAAAATGTCGCTTTTAGCATAAATTTAGCACTGCGTTGATGTCTAATGTTCTCGTAGAGAGAGACAGTTGTGACTCGTTGCCAAAAGTTTCGTTAATTAGTTACGACTGAGCAGCGCTGCGCAAGGCCAGTAACACACGGTTTCAAAACGAAAATGATCTTTCGAGTAACTTAATAATCTCTGGTCCAATGAACAGAAAAATTTGTTAATAAAAAATTAAGTAGTCAGAGACATAACATTGGCTATAATGAGGAAAATGTACTAAAACTCGACGAGAGGTCAGCTTTTTTCTCTGGAACTTTATGTGTTTCATATGAAGGATTGAAGGCGTTCGGGACAGTTCAACATTTTATATCTGATTTAGTCTATCTTCGATATAAAAGAAAGTCCCATGGATAGAAAGGAATTTAAAAAAAATATGAAATAATATGGAAAACTTGTCACATTTTTGGAAATAGGTTTGAAAGCCTCTGCCTACTGTTACCCAAACTAACAAGCCGAAATTTCGATTCATACCCCTATAAATGGATGTTTTTCTAGTATGTAAAAAATTATTAATTGTTTCTTAGCTAACCTGTTGATTTTGTAAATGATTTGCACTATCCGGACTTGAGCTGGTGGTGTCGCCATTCAATGAGCCAGAGGATGAGTCAATGACACCATCCATAGAGCGCGGTCGCAAGTCGTGTATAAGATCAGCCTGAAAGTAAAGCAGATAAGTTGAAAATTTAATAAATATATAAAATATATAATACAATATAAATATGTACTTGTATATATATATCATATGTAAATTGGATTTTCAGACTTAAAACTTGTAGTTTTCACTTAAAAAAAAAAACAAAAAAAGATAAAAAAATGAAAGTACTTCTATTTTTAAAGCTTAGTTTAAAATATTTGCGTTATAAAATTTTTTCATTGAATTTTATCAGGTGTACAACTTTGCTTCCGCCGTTTTTTCCAAAATTAAAAGCTTTATTGCGAAAAAGTGCTTACAGATATATTATTCAAAGTATTGTGCTTCGCTAGCGACAACTTTCTCCCATCTTTCCGGCAGTTTTCGGATCCCGGGTCGAAAAAAGGAGTCCTCTTTTGACGCTATCCATGAAGCAATCCATTTTTCCAATTCTTCGAAGGATTGAAAATGTTGATCTGCCAGGCCGTATGCCATCGAACGGAAAGCTGGAAGTCAGAAGGGGCGACATCTGGGGAATACGGAGGGTGGGGTAAGACTTCCCATTTCAGCGTTTCCAGGTACTTTTTGACCACTTTTGCGACGTGAGGCCGAGCATTGTCGTGTTGGAGGATGACTTTGTCCTGTCGCTCTTGATATTGTGGCCGCTTTTCTTTTAGCGCGCGGCTAAGGCGCATCAGTTGCGTTCGGTAGCGATCTTCTGTGATGGTTTCACCAGGTTTTAAGAGCTCGTAGTAAATCACACCGAGCAGATCCCACCAAATACAAATCATAACCTTGTTTGTCTTTGACATAGAAATCGCCATTTTTAAAACGTTGAAACCACTCCCGACACGTTCTTTCACTCAGAGCAGCATCAGCGTAAGTTTCTGAGAGCATTCGATACGCTTCAGCTGCATTTTTTTTCGAATTGTGACAGAAAAGTAAAACTTCTCGCAAATGGCGAGAATTAGGTACATAACGGACATTTTCGAGCGTGAATAATACGAAAACAAGAACAACTGTCACTGAAACTGCGTTGACAATTCGTTAGGCACTGTCCACACTCACTTTAAAGGCATTATCATCTATGCATTTCAACCAGCCTCAGCCGGTACAGCCACCTATCGGAAAACGGTGGAAGCAAAGTTGTACACCTGATATTTTAATTAAAATCAAAGCAAATTTTGGCATACATATATAGTATTTATGTAAAAATATTGAAGTAGACTGTTATATTGCATATCACCTCTATTGCTTTTTCTTTCTTTTGTGAGAGTGGCTAGATACTGTGTGGAAGTAGTTGTATCTAGTATTCCAAAAAAAGAATATAAATTTTTCAAAAGAAAAAAACGCTAGAAAACTCTCACAGAAATCTTCAATACAAAAAGAAGCAACGGTTGACATAGATTCTTGTAGTCTTTGAAATGCAAAAAGTATCATCGATACAGTTGTTTCTGGCCGACCAACTACTGTTCATTTTCTCACACAAAACAACAACACTTAGCAGCTAATGGCGTTGGGTAAGGGCCAAGCTGAGTTTTTTTTCCTTTCCTTTTGTACTAAATAAAAATCGTTTCTTGTTGTTCTTCACTATCTACTAGCGTAATGTGATCAACGTACAAATCATTTACATACAAACAAATAAACAAACCAACAAACATACTATAATTTTGTATGTATTTTATAATGATCAAGAAATATCTGATATTTAAATTTTTTATGTGAAAAAAACGAACGGTTATCTGCGCTTGGTTGTTCATATCGTACCATTATTATTGTTATATATTTTTGTTGTTGTTATTTTTAGTATTTGTTGTTATTTTTAGTCGACTTCTTTCTGTTTTTTTTTTATTATTGCGTATGGCTTGCAGCTGTTTTGCTGTACAAACATACAGATTTTTTAGTTTTCATTTTTATACTCTTTCATTGTTTTTGATTATTGTTTCTTCTTTGAATTTTTTTTTGTATTTACTACTAGTATGCACGCTTGAAGCCAACAGCCCCATCACTTTCGCTTAATGGCGGTGATGGAGAAAAGACAAAACAAGCGTTGTGCCGGCCCGGGCGAACCCAGGCTGTCTAAGGCACATCTAAAACACCTTTTGTAATACATATCTATCCAACACATACATACAAACAAACATAGAAGAAATTATAATTTCGTAGAAATATTAGCAAAGTGAGTTATGTGGATTTTACTCGTTGTTGCTGTTATTACTGAAGAAGCGTACATTTTTTCTTAATTTTTTTTTTTTTTTGGTTCGTTTTTATTTTCATTTTCTTAAGCCAATCAGAAAATAAGTCACTAAGTCAGCTCCGCACAATCACACACTTTGCATATCAAACAACAACACTGAGCAATACTAGAAATTTTATTGCATTGTACCAACAACGTCATCGCCACCAACAACATTAGCGTCGCCGTGAGCGCCATTAACATTTGTTGTCGATGGCGTTGATGGTTGGTTACTGACACCTCTTGCGGCTCTTAGCTGACTGGCTGACTGACTGACTGACTGACTGACTGACTGGCTACCATTAGTGTGGTCTGCATTAGAGTTGTGCGTATGTACAATATGTATGTATGTACGAGTATGTTTCTTTCTTAATACTTTCTTCGACGTGTTAATGCGTTGTGGTGACTTAAGACTTACATGCTTTTGTTGTTGTTATTCTAATTTTAATGTGCATTTTGAAGCTAAAAGTCTAAACAGAAAAAAAAATGTGCCAATATGTGTAACAAAACAACAACAAGAACAAACACAATGAGGAAATGAAAAGAAAAGCAAAGTCGAATCGTTAAACTAGTTGCTTACTGACTCAGAGCTGTGGGCAATTTGAAATGAAATCAAGAAAATGAGACGAAAAGTCTATAAAGTAATTAAAGAAAAAGCTAGAAAAATGAATTAAGAAAAAAGAGCCACAGGAAGAATTCGAAATTTGCTACCTAATACCTTAGAATATTTGAAATATAAAGCTTAATTATTTCAAAAATTCTACGGCAGCAAATTCAGAATTCTTCCTGCATCGAAACTATACAGACTAACGGGATAACATGAAGAAGGTAGCTAAGAAGCGATCTAAAAACATATACATACATACATATTTATAACTGAGTGGTCAATAATCAACGATAGAAGTTGCCAAACTCATTAAAGCTAAGCATGGTGCTCCGCCAAGCAGTGGCCTCTCTCAACTACTATTTAATTCTTACAACTCGAAACTCACTCCACTATTAGAGAGACCTTTCTCACTTCTTCGCAGCTAGATACTTAAGATTCTCATCACTGCCTACACGATTGCGATCGTCACTAAGGTATAGAGTCGCAAAAAGATTATCAAAGAAGAGAATACAGATGCATTTCCAGGTAACCGACCGACCTCACATATATTATATTATGCTGGGACGATCTGGACACCGTATAGTAGCGACCTAGCGATGTCGAATAGGACGCAATCCATTTAAGCTTGACAGAACCGTTGAATACAACGTGTTACCAAAACTACGTGGAGACCAACCAAAATCTTTCATAATCACCTTACCGCGTATGGTGTTCTTAAAACCGAAACACAATACATTGTGGACGAGGAGCAAAAGTTTCCTCATGAGGCCCGAATCGGATATTATAACATATGTAAGAGGAGATTAAAAAAAGTTATATCAATTGCTGACTTTCAATTGGTTTTTGGTAAATCTAAAAACACCAAATCCTTTTACTTTATTTGTCTTTCTTTCAATTTTAGAACGGTCGGCTGAAATGGAGACGAGAAAGCTCAAGGTAGCTGAGGATGTGTCCGACAAAATTCCACTACAAACGTAAACAGAAATTTGTCATTTTATTCTCTTCGGTTTTCGGCGCAATTTACAGCCAATAAAAATATTCAGTGAATGTCAAATTGCATATGGAACGATTGCACCGTTTTTAAAGAATATTTTTAAGTGGTTTCGAAGATTCCAGACCGAACATTTTTCAGTAGACGACGAGCTGCGAGAAGGTCAACCAAAATCTTCTATTGATGACTTCACTTTAGCTCTGGTAAAGTCCAAAATTGACCAAGACCCATGATTGATACAAGAAATGATTGCTAATGAATTGGGTTTGCATTTCACGACCGTAGCGCGTTTATTAAGAAATCATCTGGGATACACGAAGAAATCTGCTCGATGGGTACCACGATTTTTAAATCAGGCATTAAAAGAGGCTCGAATGCATTTTGCTCAATTTTTTCTAAACAAATTCGAACTTTGTTGGGTATTTAGCCCAGCAGGAGCAAACCCACTCATAAAATCTAAGCAACTAAAATCAGCAGCAAAATTAATGATGTCAGTTTACTTCATCCGATCTAGAATCGTAGCTGCTAAAAGTTTTCAAAAATTTGCAAGAATTTTTTGGAAAACAGGAAGAAAGAAGATTTGCGATTTCTTGAGTATGTGTACAATACTCTTCGCTTAAAGAATGAAACGTGGCCTTGTTTTAATCAACATTATTGTGTAGGTATTAAAAATTTTAAGGCGTTTAAGGAGTTTAGTGATCAATTTTCATAAATGCCTGACTTTTAACTAAAAGAAAAATTGTTTGATTTTACAGATAAGTTTGGCCCTGTACTGTTGAAACCATGAAATGGATAACCCTACGAAGCTAGGCTCTAATTACCCTTATTTTCCTCACTACTTTTTATTTTGTATCATTGACTTCTAAAGCTACTCACATACATACATATTTACATAGATACTTATAAGCTCATTTAGTTGCTGCTACTGTTTCTGTTGACAGCTTCAAGGCGCGTAAGACTTTAATGAAAATATTCCTAAGAGAGTAGATGGAGCTCATACCCGAAAGAAGATAAAGTTATGAAGCGGAGTGAGCTGTGGTTTGGTAAAGATCTAGAGTTGTAAGCTGAATGATTACCAGAGTGTAACATAATTGGCTTCTAGATATATGACTTTATGCTTAAGTCTAAAGTACCTTTGGGTGTATATACGAGTATGTATATATGCATGTAAGCGTGTATTCAACAATTAG